TGTATATTTTCACCTTTTTGCACAACCATTCATTTTAGCGCCAAAATTTGATTTTTTAACTGCAAGTTTTTGTTGTTCTTAGAGGTGATAGTTGCGCTGATAGGCAGAAAAGTGCAAAAATGTGCAGTTAAGCGCAAAAGCAATCGAATATATCGAATAGACGCACATGAATCAGAGACCGACGCAACTTTTTGCCACCACTAGGGCCCTATGCTTAACCTATGTAAAAAAAACTGCGTCTTCGCCAAGACGCAAAGAAGCATGACGCAGTCCCAATGTAAACAGCCTATAAGATTAACTCATTCAGTTCGTTCATTTCAGTGAATCGTTCTTTTTTGTTCGTTCGTTCATGACTACCCAACACTAGCATTCACATAATGTGTTTCAGTTGTGAAATTTTTAGGAAAACGCTCTGTATATTGAAAGATGGAAATCTTTCATGCAAGGTGATAAACGATTCAGATCACCGCATGGGCCATGAATCATGTGTTTGGTAACTATATCGAACAGTAGCTGATCAGTAAGCGGATCTGGAATTTCCGCTGAAATTACACTATCTATTTCCTCAGGGCGTATTTTGTCAACTAAACAAATTAAAATATGTCCATGAGGTAATCCTCGTTTTTGTCAGTCAACTGAATATATCCAGTATTTTGTTTGACCGAATACGTGTAATTTTGTAATGAAATTTATAAAAGACTTACATTTTTGTATAAATACGTGCTGTGTCATGTCATGGCGATGCATTGAGTTTTGGCCTGTAAATAGTAAAGAAGTTATCTCCTGACACTTTGGATTACATGTAAACGTCATAAATAAACACGGTCGTCCTGATGATTGGCATTGGCATCAAAGAGCCTACTTTGTGGTACAATTGTCCTTTAATTTTAAATGTGAAATTGGATTGTTGACCATTTTCCGCACTATTGTTGACTATTTCTTTTGCTACGAATAATGTCATTTGGAAGCATGAATTGTATTTTCGAATTGACTTCAGGAAGATGTTTAAATCTGGACCCGTGCCTTTGAGGAAGCTGTTCAATGGTTCCAGTGGTGTTCCCGCCGCCTTCAAAAGGGCCTAGGTTTGGTACGAGTTTTAGCTCCAAAGTCTCCCCATAGATTTTAATGAGCGATACCTTAAACTTGCCAATTAACGCACCTAAGACAAATGGGGATATTTTTTTTTCGACTTTTCCTGAGTATAAAGTCAAACTTTCTGATCCGCAAAAATCATCATTTTTGCATTTCAATCATATTTCCCAACGGTAAGCTGAAATACGATTTGGGCTCAACTTCTAGCTGAAACCTTCAAAATAGCAAAGTGTTGAACCAGACGTAAGATATTAAAGTTATGTTGAAAAAAGCATCGCTACCGGTCTACTTCAAAAATTCAATCTGATAGACCGTAATTCAAATTTAACCCTATCAGAGTCGGTTTGGATCCTTGAGGAAAAAAAAGTTCGGTTTTCCAGAGTGTTATCTTTGCTCATTTCGTACCTCTTGTGAATGAGATTCACGCAAGTGCAATATGACCTCACGCACATTTTCGTTATCTTCTTCGACTTGTTCGAGATTTTTATATATATAGATAATGGTATAAAGTAAAATATATCCATTTTTACTTCAAAGTCAATATCAGACTGATCAAAAAAGTAGGTTCACTTCAAGTATAGTTATGAAAAAAATGTGCTAAGTGATTATTTTTATTTTTTTTGCTTGATTAGTATGTACTACTTAATATCTAGTATATCTAGTATTGTCACCTTTATAATTCTTGTTGGCATACTTTAAATAAGCGTCTGGAATGTTTCAATAGTTGTCTCATACCACAATTTTTGGTCGCCCTACCATAATTTTTGCCTATTTTTAAATGTAAACTTAGCTAAATTCTTTTTTAAATCTCCTCACAAGTTTTTGATTGGATTTAACTCGGGAGATAGTCTAGGCCCCTACAAAACTTTAATTTTTTGGTCCTCAAAAATGTTGGTAAAAAGTCTTGATGTGTGCATTGGGTCGTTACATTACTGAAATACCCAATATTTTCTTCAGCATAACGTAGCATAGCACTCTTCAATATGAATTAGTATTCCTCAGCGTTCATTCAGTTCGTTGCTTGAAAAAGTTGACCTACGCTGAACCAGGAGATGCAGACACATATCATTATATTGTCACCTCCATGTTTGACAATGTTTTGGTGAAACGTGGATCAAATTCCTTTCCTTTAGGGCGTCGTACATTCCTTAGAATATCATTCCCAAATAAATTTATTTTAGTTTCGTCGCTCCATAAAATTTTCCTTCGCTTTTTCTCTGCCCGCGCATCCTGCCCAGTCTTTGTGATGTTTAGCAAAAGTTAGCATCATGGTTATATTTATTTGGCGCATAAGTGGAACCTTTCTTGTTATTCTCCCTGGAAGTTTGACTTGTTCTAGCCGTCTACAGATCGTTTGGGAAAAATCAGTTTTTATACCCGTACTCCAAAAGAGTTAAGGGGTAAATTTTTGCTAAAAGAAGATGTGTGCAACGCAGAGAAGGAATCGTTTTCGACCCCATAAAGTATATATATTCCTGATCAGCATCAATAGCCGAGTCGATATAGCCATGTCCGTCTGTCCGTCTTGATTAGCGCCTAGATCTCAGAGACTATAAGAGCTAGGGCAACCAAATTTTGTTTCCAGACTCATGTAATATCACACTGCTACCAGTGTATTTCAAAATTTCGCTTCGCCCCCTTCCGCCAACACAAAGAACGAAAATCTGTGGCAGGCACAATTTTAAAGATATGATAAAACTAAAAGCGCAGTATCGTAGAGAATGACCATATCTACCAGATTTCCAAATCTGAATGGGATTATAATTAAAGCCAGAATGAGGAAATTAATTTCCAGTTGCTTCCCCCACCTCCTCCAGCAAGAGACCACGCTACTCATTCTCTTTCTCGCTCGCACACACTCTGCCCTGTGCAATGCGCGACCATTGCGGAGAAGATGTAGAATCTACATTGTGTATGTATAATCTACATTTTAGATGTGTAATCGACATTGTATATGTAGATAACAGATGTAGTAAAAAATGTAAAATATTTTAAAATTCTACATAAATCATAAGCTCATAAGCTTTATATACTGACTGACTACGGATATAAAAGAAGAGTCGCGTCCCCAGAAGCGACTCACACGTTCCTTTTCGTTTTTACATTCCGCTCGAGATGGGTAAATATCATCAATTTTTCGGAAAGCCTAGTAGTCAGTACTAGTACTAGTTTCATTTTCATATAGAACACAAGAAGAAAATATGAAGAAGGCAATGAGTTCCTGCAGAAATGCTGCATGAGCTGCAATGCTCAGGAAATTACCGGTGAATCAGAAAATTTTCGCAATGAAGGGTATAGAAAAACTCCTTGTTCAAGGACAATAATTCCAGCAAACTCACAATGCTGTTGTTTAATGTGTTTGTACATAACTCAGAAAAAAATTAAATAAGACTGTAAAATTAAAATGGATATGCAAGGCAAGGATATACGGGTTCGATGCAGAAGCTGTACTCGGAAGAACCAGAAAGCTCCTTTGATCAATATGAAAACTTGTTATACTTTCTGACAGGCAAACAAATATAAATTGTGGACAGAAAATAGACATTTACCGCTTAGTTTTATTTGCTTGGCCCAACAACAACAACAAGTACAATTAAGATAAAGTATTCGATAACGTGTTCGATTACGCGCCCGATAAATACTTAGCTTAAAGTTTAGTAAGGGTGCGAATGCTGAGAGTTGAGAGCTAACGGTTCCTCCTAGACGATGTCGAGGGTTGCTCGGTATCATCGCGATTACTGTGATCGCCTGCATCGGCCCCAGCATCGGCCCCAGCATCGGTATCAGCACCGACATCGGCAGCGACATCGGTATGGGTATCGAGCTCGGTGTCGCTGCAATCGAAGGAAATATTGGCGGGAGCGTTGGCCGGCAGCAGCAGGAACTCGTTGAACAGAAAGTCTGCGTCCATGGACTGAGTCTTGGGGTGATAGCCCCGGACAATGCCCCGTTTGGGCGGTTCTATAAATCGCTCCTTCACGATCAACGCCCCCGGGCGAGGAGATGGTGATGGTGATGGCGAGGGGGAAGCCGAGGCTGAGTGGCAGGCGGACAGAGTACTGGGCAGTCGCCCAAAGTGCCCTGTTCCGCCTCCCCGAAGCCGATCCCGGTCTGCTCCAGCTCCAGCTCCTGCTGCAGCTCCTTGTCCTTTCTGATGCTGGGGTGATCCACTGGTGCTCTTTAGGTTGATGCAACTCTGAGTGTGGGAAACGTTGTCATAGTCGCCCGTGGCCTGCATGGGCACGCGCTTCAGGGTGTTGCTCTCGAAGGGGAAGTTCGAGTTGGATGTGGACTGGGTGAGGTTCTCAAACTTGCGCAGCCGGGCATCCTGGCGCAGCTGCTGGGCGGCAGCCGGTAGATTTATGGAGGCGCGCAGTGCCGCCCCGTCCTTGTCCGGCTGTCCTGTACCCTCGAAGACACTGATCTGCTTCTGGATGCGCGGCGAGACGGAATCGTGAGACCGGCGCACGAGAGGACGAGTGTGCTCCGGTGACGGCTGCTGGACGTGGACGGGCAGGGAGAAACCGAAGCGGGGATCATCACTGGCCACATCGGGCGGAGCTTCGTCGTGGCTGGGGCAGCAGTGGCAAATTGCCAGATTGGGCTCCCCATCTGCTGGGAGCGATGGAGTCGTGGCTGCCGAAAGGGTGGCATCCTCTTCATCCTCGAAGCCCTGAGGGGAATTGAAACGCAATTAGAAGATGACAGCGGAAAAGGATAACCTACTCACATCCATGGAGAGCGTCATGGAGCCTCTGTTTGCCACCATGCTCAGGTCCAGGTCCATGCCGAAGCTCACGGGGGTGAGGCAGTTGAGGGCGTTGTCCTGCTCCCCGCATACGCCGAAGAGAAGACCTTCTCCGGATATGCTCATCCCCACGTCACTCAAAGTAGGTTGACATTCGGTGAGGCTGTGTGCCTGTTCACTTATGTTCAGGTAGATATCTGGCGTGGGTCCCGCAAGCTCCGAATATGGTGTGATGGGAGCGGAAAAGTGATCGCTGTGAAATGGAAAACCTCTATTAATGGAGGAGGAACGGAGAGCAAACTCGTTCTCACAATAACAGCTGCTTCAGCTCCAGCTCGGATTGTGGTTCCTCATCCGCCAAGGCTGCCTGGAGGCTATCCTGCTGCTGCTGCCAGATTTCTTTTATGGGTTGACCAATTGGATAGAGTTTTTAGTTGAACCGTTAGTAAGCGGAAGCGATATGGATAGAGACGATGCAAAATCGAGTCATGAATGGGCGAATCGAATGCGGAATGAGCAATTGAAAAGTGATCGGGGTTGAAATTAAAAATGAAGGAGCTAGAAAAGAAAGAATAAACGAGTGCAGAATGAGTGACGAGTGAAAAGGGTAGCGTGACAAAAGAACGAGAAGACAAACACACTTTTGTATGTTTAAGCGAGTAGGCGAGTTTAAATACAGCGAGTGAAGAAAAGAATGAAGAAGGGACAATGAACAATGGAGAGCGAGCGACAGAGCGAGTGAGACATTTTTGATTGAGAGGCGAGTATTCGATTCAATTCATGATGGATTTATAATCTAAAAGTTTTCACTTCTCGCCATTTTTATTCCAATGATGACCAAAAGACTTAAAAGCTAATTGAAATCAAAACATAAATGACACAAAACTATAACTATCCGTGTAGATGTTGTATGTGAGTATGTGCATACTTCTATAATAATTTGTGTTTATCGGTTATAGACATAGCACAATATAGTAATATATACAATCGTAAACAAAATGTTAGCTGCATTTACTCTAAATGCTTGGCTCAATTCAATCCACTGAAAATATTAAGAACAAAAAGAACGCATAAATAATTAAATTGGAATTAATAGTAAAATCAAATAAGACATTTTTGGCATGGAAAATTGCAGCTCAGGAAATTGAAATTGGAAAACCTCTAGTTCCTAGTTCCGTTCTACGGTACTCTGATAGAATGAACACTCACACAGGGTACAGGGTGGTGTTGTAATAAACAAAACTTGACATTGTGAACACCAAAGACGAAAATGGTTTAAAAATGCGAGAGAATCAGACAGAAGAGAGATTGTTTGATTTTGGATGAGGATTAGTTGGGGTCCAGGCAAACGATATATTCGGTTGACAAAAGCATAGATCTTCTCGTACCTCCCTCTTACATCTCAAACCGTTATTTTGACTTTAGTACTTTGCCACATTGAAGCTAGAGTTTATTAGCAAATGTTGCGCTCTCCATTAGAAAGGCATTGAGGAAAATAAAGAGATACCTTCAATCCCAACAAACAAATAATGATAATTAAAAAAAAAACACTATTTTTCGAACGAAATAATTTTAAAATTTAATTGAACCAAACGAGTGTGTGCTTCGAATCCTTTGGAATTTTATCGGTTTATCCAAAAATAATTTAAATCAAAAAGCCGAGTGGGGTATTTTTGCATATAATTTTTACGGGATCTCTTCAGGATCCTGTGTATTTTGACTTACGTTCTTTTTTGGCGGCCAAAAACGTTCGGTGTTGCCTCCGTTCGTCCACATCCTGTTCTTTGTTCTGCTCTTCCAGCGCCATTTCCGAGGGGAGCCTGTTGCCCTGGCGTCGTTCCGCGGGCACGTTGATTCGAGTTCGATTCGCTACAGCATCCTTGGAAGGTCACACTGAGGGGCGACTGGCCCACTTTTCCCGTCACCCCCGTCGGGGTGCTCGGAGTGTCCCCAGCGCCGACGATGCCTGGACCGACTGAAGCGACTTCATCCACATGTGCAGCAAGTGCCATTGAAGAGACGGCCGGCATGGCGCCGTGGTCGAAGGCGCGCGGCGGAGAACCCGTTGGGGTCTTGAATATTTGCGCCAGGATCATGTCCTGCAGGAAGCAGTCCAACTTGCGCAGCGATAGAGCATTGTGGAGCGTTTCCAGGGGTCGTATCGGTGGAACATCGCCAAATCCTGTACGGTCCCCAGTTGGGGGTCGGATGAGAAAGAATATCATTGAAATATCATTCAATCAGGGATTCAGTGATCCCTCCCCACAAAAAAAAAATAATAATACAAACTTAAAATGAAGGTAGAGTCCGCCGCAGGGAAGGATTCTCGCGGGAAAAAAAGTTATATCCAAACAGAAAGACATCCAATTAGTGGACTCTAAAGGGTGGGTGATAGAGGATCTCGAATCGAAACGAGCTTTAAGATTTTTTCGCCAATAGGTTTATATTTTCCGTTAAGAAGTTAAACCAAGACTTTGGTTTCTTTATAGTGAAAGACAACCTGCTTTTATCTATCAACTGCATTTATAGTTGAAATACATACACCATTCAGGTTCCATTCTAAACAACCAAAGAATTGCACTCATGTGTTATACGATGGGTTTGCAATTTACACACCCATTGGTGTGTACACTGTACAGTGTAGATTGCTATAATCAGGTTTTTATAGCCTATAAAAAGGTTCTTTTATGTGTAAATCTATATATGCATGTATATTCGTAATTGTTTTGGGAGTATGTATGTACCTCCCATTAGTTTTCTCTTTGAACCCTATAACCATATATTCCCCATTTAGTAGTCAATTTTAAAAGGTTTTTATCACTACCTTTTTGTGCACACTCGATGCAAACCTTGAGGTGGTCTACATAATTTCAGGGTCCAACTTCACTTGACTAAGGATGGACCTAAGCTTGCTCCTTCAGAGGAGTCAGATCTTTCTCCCTCCTAATTCAAATCCAACTCGACGGAACTCTTTTGCTTACGACTATGTATAGTACTCACCGGAAGACGAGACCGGTATCATGTCCCGCAGATTGGGGGCAGATGAGCTGCCGCTTATCACTGCCGTGCTGAAAAGGCTATTCGCGCTGGTGGCCATCTTTTTGCTAAAACCACCGAAACCCAACATTTTCATATAGGACATCTGGCCGGCAATACTGTGTCTTTGGCGACGCGATGATGTTGACGAGTTGGCCGATGAGGCCGAGGCCGATACGGACACCGAAACTGTGCTATCTGTGGCGATGGTATTGGTACAACAAGACGGGGTGGTCGTGGTAGTTGTTGTGTTTGTATCGGTGGTGTTGTTGGTATTGGTGTTGGTGTCAGTGTCATTATGTTGAATGATTGGTTGATTGGTGATTGGTGTAATTGTTGTTGAAGTTGGTATTGGTATTGGTGTTGTTTCGTATTCATGTTGGTGTTGGTGTTGGTGTGCGTCAGAGGAGGAAGGATCGATCGATTTGAATTGGTTAGTAAATGTTTGATTAGAAGACATTGTTGCTGTATTATTATTGAGCAAAGTTGCTATTGTTGTTGTTGTTGTTCTGGTTGTTGTAGTTGTTGTCGTTGTAGATAGTGTTGGTGTAATTGTCGGTGTAGTTATTGGTATGAGTTCGGTTCGGCTTGCTGTGGCAGTAACCAGCAAAGTGGGCAGATTATAGACCACCAGTGGCTGTGGGTGTGGCTGTTGCTCTTTTGCCACTTTACTGGTTACAATATTGGTTTGAATTGTGGGTGTGGGTGTGGTGGTGGGTTCGCGTTCGCGTTCGGGATCGGGTGTACGCGTGGGCGTGGGATTCAGATTTTGTGTGACATTCTCGGCTATGGGTTCGAAGCAGCTCACAAAACACCCGCCAGGCGGAGCAGCTGCCACCGAAGAGACCATAAAGCGAAAGGGATTCTCCTGGAGCACTATCGCCGAGCTGGGCATCACCGAGAGCTGGCCACACGAGTGACTGGTGGCCTTGCGGTGCCCAGAACTGGAGGCACAACTATCGGCAGCTGGTGCCTTTGAATGGGTCTCCTCCATGTCCTTGCACAGCCTCAGGGTGGAGGCGGTGGGCGAGGTGGTGGCATGGCTCTTGGGCGACAGAGCTGCCATTCCAGAAGGTTGCCGCCCGTATGGGACGGTCATCAGGCATGCCGGCGCCGAGCTGGAGAGCTGAAAGTCATCATCGAAGCTGCTGCCACCGACTTCGACGGCATCTGCTCGATCGGGGCCCGTCGACGGGCTGTGTGCCACCTCGGAGCTGCTCAGGGTCTGGCCCAGATCCATCAGACTCTTCGAGTGCGAGTGGGCCTGGGCATGGAGCGCCAGGGCCGACGAGCTGGTGCAGTTGCAGCTGAGCGGACGCTCGTTGGTGGCCATGGGCGATATCTGGGGCAGGTGCTGCAGGTGCTGGGGCACCTCGCGACCCGCCTTCAGGTCATCCGGCTCATCACAGCTCTCCATGCGGCGCATGGTCAGCACGTGGAGCCGCTTGTGGGGGGACGGGCCGCACTGGGGCGTGCCCGGGTTCAGGGAGAAATCAATATCAGACAGGGGCAGTTCGTTCGTTGAGGAGTCGATCTTAAAGAAGGACAGAGTGTCCGTGACGCGTATCTGAAAGGCCGTGCGATGGCCCCCCTTGGGAGCCCCTTCTCCGGTGCCGACCCGAGCGTGGTCTATCTCTTCGAAGCTTGGGGAAGGAGCTGTGATAATTCGGGGGGTAGGGGGCAAAGCCAATCGGTGGATAATGAAGGGTTAGTACGGATGATTGGGTTTCGTCGGTCAAGAGTCAGCCACGCCACGTGTCGGAGTGGGTGTGTGTCGGTATATCGGAGTATCGGAGTATTGTTGTATAGATGGGTGTATAGATAGAAAAGTCATTAGCCGAGATACTCAACAAATTGGAGAACGAATAGAGAATGTGCTTAATGAGAGGTTCATACAAGGCAAGAAAATCAATTCGAAAACAAATAAAAAAAAAAAAAAAAGGAGAAACTAAAAAGTTCGGCTGGCCGAATGGAAAATGCTCTTGCAAGAATGTACTAGGTATCCTTATAGCCGCACCTAAGCCTGATCTAAATATGAAATAAGCTAATATCTCAAGTAGTTCAAATGGTTCCATCCAAATGATTAACGTTTTTAATTAGTGGTTGAAATTTCATCAAAATGCTGTGGCTGTTTCCACTATCATCTTGTGTGTTATTTTGAGGCCTCAGTTTAGAGGCACTTTTGATCCCTTTTTAGTCTTCCCCACCGATGTATAAATGTAGATCCTCGCAGACTGTTCAACATATTTGTTCCATATGTGCGGACCTGTCTGAGAGGCGAAAGCCTTTGTGGGTGTACATCAGTGGTCGGCACGCACACAATCAAATTTTCTGCAGTGCGATTGTGTGCGTATGCAGCTGGCAAAACGGATCATTGTATTGGTTCAAACCACTGCAATACACGTGAACGTGAGCGGCAGCGCCTTTTCCTAAGCAAAATGTTTAGGGCCCTGGCGACCACTGGTGTACGTGTACACTGTACATCAATGATCATGGACTACACACGTTCTTGCACGAACATTTAAAAAGCTCTAAGCTTTCAGGCTTTGTCTGCAGCAGCTTAAGGCGGGCGGCAGCAGGTAGCTTCAGGCGTTAGCAGGTTGATTAGGATACGCTTGTGTGTGGGTGGGTGTTTTTGTTTTGTTTTATTCTTGAGGCGAGTCCTGTTAGTGGTTTGTGTGCGAGTTTGTAGGTGTATCGGGTGGTTCGGTGTAGCTTTGTGTGTTAGGATTTGGATGGTTCTGGGTCTGTTGGTTGGTTGGCTTTGGCGGTACGTACGGGTTATGGGTTCTGCAAACAACAACAACGAGCAACGAACAGACACAGACAATAACTTTACAAAAGTTGGCAAAGTTTTCTCTTCTTTTTCTTCCTTTCAACTGTTCGCTTTTCATGCACGAAGACCAAGACAGACAAGGAGACGGGGGGTTGGTACAAAGGAAGACAGACAAATAACCAGAAACAGAGATACATAGGTGTTATGTACACAAAGAAAGATACAGAGGGGTATAGAGATAGAGAGCAGGAGAGGGATAGTAAAAAGTGTGACCGTTCTGCAGCTGGAGCCCGGCAAAAGCTTCCGAACGCAGTTCCATTCCCATTACCATTCCTTTTGGAAAGAAAAAAGCTTCGGAAGCATTTCCCGGGACCCAGCTGCCTGCGGGGCCTGATTGTGGTTGGTTGTGGTGAGGACGAGGACGAGGCCGCGCCAGAGTGAACAGTGGGGCTGTGTGCCTGAGACAGTGTGACCAGCATTGCCAAGTACACGGGATTCCGCGGCCAGATGCTTATAGATTTTCCGTTTTTCTCATGTGGAAAGTAGAGAACATACGAGAGAGAGAGTGATAGTGAGATTGAGATTGAGAGCGAGACAGAGTGAGATTGAGAGTGAGATTGAGATTGAGATTGCGATCGAGAGCGGGAGAGAGAGGACGAGATGTGTGTGTGTGTGGATTTGTGAGCGTTTTTTTTCATATGTCATCTCATCGATCGTCCCACAATAGTATATTATCGACTCAGCGTTGAAACAGAAAAATTGAAAACCAAAAATGTTGGGCACAGCTTGTGGGAGAAGGCTAAAAAAAAAGGCATGAAACTTCCACCGAAACTGTCCTTCTTTTCTACATTCCAAAAGCACACATGTTGAGAAATTATGAAACTAAACATTTTTCGTTTACCATTCGAAAGAGAGATAGCGCCATATTATCTAGAGATACTTGTAAAAATGGGAGTCAATTCAATACAAATACAGATGCAGGTACATATACACAATAGGGCGGAAATAGCGTAATCAAATAAATATTCTAGAATCTAGATAAACTTTGGAAAGGTTCTGGGAACGGGATCTCTGGGGATATTCAAGGATTTTTCTCTTGGACTCAAGTTGGTTTGTGGGGGGGAGGTGGGTTTTTGGCTCGGTTCCCCCTTGGCATTAGCTGGCAGTGGGGTGAGGAAACCATAAAACGCAGGCATAAAACGTAAAGGAATAAAACGGCATGCTTAAAACCAAAATTAGAACACCAAACAAAAAATATCTAAAATAAATGCAACACATTTTAACATAAGTGAAAAGCGAAGCGCAGCTTCGGAACAACCGAAGATGGTATAACCTGGTAGGAAGATCAGTTAGAAAGGAAAAATCCCCCTAAGAACTAAATCCCAACTTATATTTCCCTTAAATGTCAAAGGTTGTTCGGACAATAAACGATTGTGGAAGTTGCACTCGTTCTCGTACCCAATCAAAAATAACTAGAAATATGGAAATGTTCGGTGATCAAAGATGGATGGACAGATGGCCAGATAGATTGATCAATTGATGGATAGTGTGGAGTGATTCATGATAGGATATATGAGTTCCCGGACTGACATTGAAGTAGTTTGATATGATAGCTTCAATCAGTACTCTTCAATGTTTAAGGATGGACTATTCACTGGCAAACTGAATGATTTGCTCCTTCTATTCACGTTCCCCCAATGAGTCCAGTCTCCTGCTAGTTTCAACTAACCCTTGACATCTTCCACCGCTTAAAGTATCCTGCCAGGTTATAGCTAAGCAGCGAGATGGAAACCGCATCAGTGTGAAAACTGATTGGCAACGCGCCAATCGGTGATGAAGTGTTACTTAAGTAGTGTTAGGGGGAAGCCGGATCACGAGCAAAAATCGTAAATCAGCCCCTGTTAAGTTTTTGAAGGAGTAGTAGGAAGAGCGGGGAGCCCCAGGCTCCGCTTTGGCGCTGGCGGCATAGCCAGTTGCAAGCGCTAAACATACACATACATACACACACACAGACACACACACACACACACGCACACACACAGGCCAGAGCACTATTCCGCCCCCGACCCTCGTATACATACCCGTCTGCTTGCAACAGTTGCCGGAGGTGGGACGCTGCTCAAAGCTGCGGGATCGCGGCTCGCAGTCCGGACTCACGGCCCGCATGTCGGGGCTGATGGGCCGCAATTGCTGCTGCTGCTGCTGCTGCTGCTGCTGCTGTTGCTGGTTGTGGGAGAGCTGCTGCTGCTGGGAGGCGAGCTCCTCGTTGAGCCGCTTGGCCAGATCCATTGCCTCGTGACCACTTACCGTGTGGTGCGAGCCGATGGGAATGGGCTTCGACTTGAGGTGCTTGGTGCGCAACTCCAGCCGGTTGAAGCCGGCACTGAAAACATTGCTGCTGGAGCCAGCGCCGGAAATGTTCTCCTCGCAGCTCTGCGGGAGAGCAGGGGGGAAATTACCAGAAGTTAATACCAATTGAAAACGAAAGAAGGCAACGAAGAAGGTTCCTGCCTTCAGTTTTGAATAAAACTTCACTGGGTTCATATGGAGGACATTTAAACCATTCAAACTTGAAGCTAAATGTGTGTCCTTAAGTATCCCAAATGATTGCTATGCTGAGCATTAGGAATGGGAGTACTCGAGTGGGAGTGAGTGCACATCACTACAGATATTCTATGCTACCACAGATATGATATGTTATGTTCTATATCGGTTTCGTCCTCTTGCATATAGAATAGATAGAGATAGATAAGATACTGGACTAACCCCTGCCTTTTTGGTGTTCTGCTCCTCCCCGGAGTTGTTGTCGTTCTCCTCCTCGATTCGGGCAGGGTTCGCCTCGTCTGAGGACTGCAGGCTCACGTTGCAGGCATTGTCGCCGTGGGAATGGGGCCGGAAGCCGGGCCCTGGCGGCAGATTCTTCTGGACGCAGCAGTTGACGCCCGGACTAAAGTGGAGCTCGACGTGGAAGCGTTCCTCGGAGGTGGGATCCTTGGTGGGATCCTCGTACAGCATGATGACGATCTGGGACATGTAATTCAGCTCGGACACCATGGAAATGTAGTCCATGGCGCGGCGCCACTGCTCGTCGGTGACCACGTTAAGAAGGCCGCCGTACCGGAGGACGGTGAGCAGGGAGTGGACATGCGACTCGCTGGTGAAGTACAGACGGGTGCGGACATGGCGCTGGGGACTGGCCACGCCGTGGCTGTAATGTGGATTCAGCCGGTTCATGAACTCGTCCTCGACCTCATCGATGTTCCGCTGCAGATCGCCCTTGATCTTGCGCAACAGCGGCGAGCAGATACCCTGCCCAATGGCCAGCTTCTCCTGCGGCGTCAAGCCGTACTCCTGCGGTATGACAATGTCGGCCAGATTCTTGGCGTAGATGTACAGCTCCTCGGCCTGGTCGTACTGCAACGTGTGCTGGTTGTGCTGCAGATCGTATTTGATGCAGTCGTAGATGTCCGGTATCTTGGAGATGTCAAACAGATTTGACTTTGTGCTGAAGTCCTTCTCGATCTTCTCCCAGCGGCAGCGCATAAGGTCCCACGTCTCGCCATGGTACAGTATGGCGTCCTTGGTCTTGGGATCGTCCTTTTTAATGCTGATTATGTGCAGCAGCTCGCGGATCAGCAGGTGCACATGGTGGCAGCAGTCCACCGGATTCTTCACAAAGTCCAGCGCCTGAGTGATCGATTTGCTGTTGCACGGATTGATATGCTCGCGATCATCCTTTGTGAATTCGCGATCGTTTTGCATTAGCTCGTGCAGGCGACCCTTGGCCCTGTTGGTGTACAGGATACAGGATTAGGACACATTACTGGTACAGTTATTGAGCAATTACAAGCAAAACATTAGAATTCAGAATTATAAGAATTATTTGAAAGATCAGCCAGACAGATTATTGAGAGAAACTCCTTAAGGGATTAGCTTAAAGTTCACTATAGTTATACAGAATATTGAGTGATCGTGTGATCGGTGATGTATCGAGAAGGTATAGTACTATTTGTACGCTCCTTCTCTGCGGACTATGATAGATAAATTAATGCGAGTTGACCAGTAAGAAATCCATCCCTGATCAGCCTGATAAGATCGATTATTGAACAGAATAGAAGATCCGCTTGCCCGAGGGTGGCATAAGATCTGCGGATTGCCAGAATTCCATCCACAGATGGAAATTGAGACACGAGGAATACTCACCGATTCTGGTATTTGCTGGAGTCGCAATCGTTGTCCAGCAGCCCATTCGTGTTGGCGCTCTTAACCATCTGCACCAGAATGGGCGTCAGCTCGCCCTCGAGGGCCAGCAGACCCTTGGCGAAGGCAGCCGCCGTCATCTGGACCCGACCCTCGTCCGAGGCGTAGATCTTCAGATCGTGTCGAAAGGTTGAGTGCAAGCTGGAAAATAGTTTTCCAGTAAAAAAAAAAGCGAAGAAGGCAAAGGACAGGCAGAAAAAGTCGTACCGTAGTAAACCCAATCCCTGCGTGCCCGAGTAGTCGGATCGTCCCTGACCTCCTGGATACATGCAGCGGAAAATGCGACCCAGTTCCTCGGCCTGGATGCGTCCGGCGGGGGTGAGCTCGCCACCCCACTTGAGGATGAGCACTAGCGACGGTTCTGCAGGGGATTCCGCTGGAAGATTGGCTTCGCAGGGGTTGAGCACAAGACTGCGTTTAGGGTTGGGAATGGCAAGAGACTTACTGTCATCGGAACTGGAGCCGCGGGGTCGTCCCTTCGGCTGGTACTTCATCTGCACCTTCCTATTGATGCCCGAGAAGTGGCCGTACATCTCCAGGACGTTCTTCAGCTGCTCCAGCTTGCTTTCCTTTTCCTCGATCTCCGCGTGTGCCTTGGTGTGGATCTCGCTGAGCAAGAAGCGGGCTATGTCGAGGATCTCCTGCAGCTGCTTGGGCCGCTTCAGCTTCACATGGCCCAGCTTGTAGCCATCGTACTTCTCGAAAATCTCAAAGAATCTAAGCAATAAATGGGCAAACGAATCAGATCCAGTGCCATACGTTTGCATGCAGAATAAGGGCTATCTGTACTCACTTTGGATGCCGCACTTCGACCTTCATCTTTTGCTTGGGCGTGCGATCCCCATGCCGGATCACGGCCACCACACATCGCAGCTCCATCATCTTGCCAAAGGTGGTGGGGACGATGGGTGGATCGTCCAGTTGGAAGGGCACCGACCAGGGAATGTGCAGCGTGGGCGTCAGCTCCCTGAGTATCATGTTGCCCAGGATCTTGGCGCAGTCATCGTAGTATTTGTTTGAGTTCTTCACGAAACTGAAGCCATTCACATCGCATACGTAGCTCTTGCCATTGGCCCGCAGAAGATCAAAGCCGCAGACGGTTTGCTTGAAGGCCAGGCACACTTTGCGGGAAATGAGCTTCTCGGAGTGATTGAGGATCACTGGGTAGCGGATCTCCTTGCCCTCGCTGTCGCGCTCCACCTTGCCGTCCAGCGCGGGACTCTTGCGGGCCTCCGCATGGGCGTAGTCCGGTCCCACGGTGTAGACCTTCACGTCGGTGCCTGAAAAGTACACTAAGTTGTAAAGGTAATGCTGGATTCAGTGCGTTCGACTGGCGGCCAGTATGATGAGCTGAACTGAGCTGAACAGAGCGGCGTGCGGCGAGAAGGGGGACGGCGAGTGGCGAGTGACGAGTGGCGAGTGGCAAGTGGCAAGTGGTAAGTGGCAAGTGAGAAGTGGGGAGACGCAAGACAATGGTCAAATGAGTTATGTTTGGCGGTGGCGATTTGTTAAGCTGGAGGAGAGGGGATTAAACTAGCCAAACTTAGCCTTTAACAATAACAGGCAGCCATATCGGGGGGATACAGGGGGACAGGGCACAGGGATGTGGGATCCGGGATCTGGGATTCAGGAGCGGGAAGTCAGGATCTCGGGTAGTACCTACAGCTGCATAGAGCATGGGAGCATAGAGAGCAAGTTGCATACCATCGGTGGGCATGAAGTCCTCGTAGATAAACGAGCCCGTCTTGCGCACACGCGACTCCGGCGAATAGACACTGCTCCTACTGCCGATCTTACGAAACAAACGCTGACTTCCACCTCCCGCCGAGGTCGGGTAGTAGATGTAGATGTTGTGGTCCTCCGCCGAGACTGGCTTCTCTACGAACGGCTTGTTGAAGGTGATCCCATTGACCTCGACATGGTCCTCCGATTCGATCAGCTCGTGATCTGTCAAACGATAAATGAATATAAGCGTTAATACTCGTATATGAACAGCTGGTAATGTATAATATTTTAGGGTGATAGATGGAGTCCTTCCCTGCAAAAGGTAGTGTATGATACTCACGCTTGGGATCGGGCGAGTCGCGATCGAGGACCGCATAGCGTGGTATCTCGATGCCCTCCTTCTCGAGTATGGCATAGACCCGCCGCCTGTCCTGGATGTCGTACTGCATGTGCAGGTTATTGAGGACAAACGGATTGCGAAGCTGGGCGTACTCGATGGCCTTCTCCAGGGGGAATCCCTTCGAGTGGAACGAGACCAGGCAGTCGCAGGTGGGCCAGTTCTGGACCGGCTCGCGCAGTATCACGTTCTCCTCGAACGTGACCAGCTTGATGAACTCGAACTCGCCGAGCCGCGTGAGGATCTCCTTCATTGGCTTCGACTGCGTCTTCTTGGCCATTGCACAGATGCCGACCATCACTTGCTTGCTGCTGCTGGAGGAGGTGCTCGTGTCGGAGTCCATGCCGTCATTGCTTTCCCCAAAGTCCGTGTCGCCCTTCGAATGTAGAAAGAGCCGTGTATGGATTATTGGGTTTGTTAGCCTTACTTTCCGCCGCATTCCGCCGACGAAAAAGAACAAAGAACAAAACAGTTCAGAACAGACAAGAACGGAACGGAGGCGCCGCAGGCCAGGCGAATGCTCTGCTGAGCACACGGACCTAAGGATCGTCGCGAACGAACCAAGGATATTCACATGCGCGCCTGCAGTGACCCACTTTGCTCGTTGGCTCGCTAACTGCCGTTTCCAGCCTATTTGCTTGCTGGTGTACTTGTTGTTGTCTTGGTTTTTGTGTCGAATCGAGTGTCGACATTAGAATCAAACACCTGTCGAGTCGGCTTTCCTGGCTGTTTTTACAGTGGAAACTTGTACATAAGTCCGACAGAAATCGGCTATGAGCAAGGCCTTAAGACTAAAACCAATGTCTAACCTGCCAAAAGATTCCAAATTTTGGGATAAAATCCAGTTTTTCGTATTTTTAAACCCGAACCTTAAAGAGTATATGGATATACATACATACAGATGTACATACATATATATTTTTTAAACTCAAAATCTAGTTTCTTTTATAATGCACATCCATGCATACACTAGATGGGATACAACTGTATATAAAGTAAATTGCAAGTCGGCTAATTGAATGCCAGCTTGACTCTTGAGAAATTACCCGTAAAATTGTTCCCTTATCTATGCCATTTACAATGATCTGTTCCAAATTCGGCAGTCTGGTAGATACTTGTGGTCATTTTCTACGATAGTGTGTTTTCGGGTTTCTCGTATCTTCAAAATTGTGGATGCCACAGATTTTCGGATATAACATTTTGTTGCTCCAAGTCTCTCATAGTGTCTGAGACACGGCTTTATCGACTCGACTATTGGATGATCATCGAGAATATAAGTACACACTCGTATATACTTTATTGGGTCAGAAAAGTTTCCTTCTTCCTAAGCTCTTACCGGGTATAAAAAAAACGCCGAGATACATATATGAATCGGAATAGCAGAGTTTGGGGACATTTCTGAACTTTTTTCTAAAGATAGTTGAATATATAAGAGAGTTTTTGAAAGAACTTTTATCATGAATCATATTTCGTTTAAAAATAACTAGTATTGGAGAACAAGGTATTAAAAATACTTTTTGTTTAAATTTTTTAGCGACAAAAAAAAACCTCATATCAGCGAAAGTCGCGTTATGCGTTATGCACACGCGATGTATGTTGTTTTTACAATGCTCGAGCATTCTCTTTTGCGTCTCAAGTCCAGCACCAATCTGCCGCAAGGATATATCGGTTGTAGAAATTGTTAACTAATATTTTCCACCGAAATAGCCAGAAGCATACCCAACCTAAGCGGCTATTCATTAGAGTAAATACATACTTAATATTGTATATAAGCCGTTTCAAACACATGAGCACCGCTTTGATAAGCAAATCGAATCGGTTGATATTCAAAGCGTTACTTCGAATCGGTTAAGAAATAGTTTTGCGTTATTCCCACTGAAGTTTCTTCTCTATGCTTATGATTTCAATGGATAGAGACAGAAATACTCAAGACTCTAAAGCAATAAATACCCTAAAATGTAAACCAAATAGACCAGTTCCATCTGTAACCCGAAGCTCATTTCAATTAGCAAATTGCCTGCTCAGCCACTCATTCATTATCGTCTTTTTGTCTGGCAAGCGGTAACCGGTAACCGGTAGCCGGTAAGCGGTAGTTGTGGGAGACCTACGAGACCTACATTCAGACAGATGTCACAGTAGCAGAAGTCGTCGCTCTCCCCATCGCTGCCATGGCTCGGTCCATAGTCCTCGTAGTCGCTGACGTTGAAGGGTCCGTATTCCCCGTCATCGTCATCATCAGCCATATCCTTGTCCTGCTGCTTGGCGTGGACGCCGGCGCTTAGACTCCGCCGCTGACACTGCAGCAAACGGTTGCGGCGCAGTCGATCCCGGACACGTCCGCGTCGCTGGGCATGCCCTGAATCCTCCCCTGTGGTCGCCTCCACGCTGTGACGGCGACTGGCCCGACGATCGTCCCGGCTCAAGACCCCGCCCCCCGCCACTGCATCTGATCCGGGCAGGGCCGCGGCTGTGCTTACTGCGGCGCCCTCCGCCGCTGCTGCCACGAGTTTCTTCTTGTGGCGCTGGTGGCGAGAGCGCAGCTTTTTGAGGCGCCACCAGTCCTTGAGCCAGGTCCATTCCATTTCGTAGTTTCCACGAATCGGGGTCCCCACTCAACCGGTACGGTACGTGGTGCGGTACGTGCCAAAGCAACCGAATTCCGACACAATTTGAAGCGAAGCAAGCGACGTGGGCCTGACTGGGGTCGCGAACTGTTCCGTGTACGGCAAGCAACTGACGTGAGTACTCAAACAGCAGATCACACTGGATCGTATCGAATCGGATCGGATCGGATCGTACAGTATCGGACGGATCAGAGTGAAGAGAGGCGGAGGAGTGAGGTCACGGAGTGTGCCCAATGGCCTGCGCCCACTCACTCGCCGAGCAAAGAGAGCCACAGCGGTGAGATACTCGCACAGAGAGGCGTCAGATGGTTGTCGCTCTCTTTGTGTAATTGTTTCGCCATACTGAAAGCGTAAGCGTGCGTCGATCTTATCATCTTTGTCGTTGTCATTGCTTTTGCTTTTGCTGTTTCTGTTGCTGTTGTTGTCGTTTCCATTGTTGACAAAACGACTTAACTACAACTTAGCGTACACGTCCGGCCCCGACAGAGAGTAAATGAACAACAACCGAGGCGGACAGTGGACAGCGTACAGCGTACAGCGACAACGGACAAGCAGCACAAAGAAAATAGCGGAACTACAACGAAACCAGTAGGTGTAAGTGGCCACAGGTAACCGTGCAAAAGAGCAGCAATGAGAAACACGATAAGAATTTCAGTGCCAAAGTGATAAGAATTGCTCCATGCAAGAGAGAGAGAGAGATCTCCCAGCAACCCACCGCAAAAAAAACTGCTCAGGTAAAGTCTACAGTTGTATGTGTATATAGAGATAATCAGGAATATATGTACGTATGTACTATACATGCATATGCAAGTACACTACGAGTACACATAGTAAAAGCTAGAACTTCGACGCTACCCGCCCATACAAATACAAACACCAGTCCTCAAGTTGCCAGACACTATGATACCCAGTACTCCGTTTCTGTTTATGAGTTATGCAAATTATATAATATATATCTGCACACGGTCCATCCTCCTTCTAGCTAATTATAAAAATCCCTCCAACTCCAAACCCACCAACGAGGTACCACCTGAGCGTAATATCTCCATCGCTACGCCAGGTAGCGTCTGATCAAGAGTATTTTTATGGGGGCTGTAACCTACATCTACACGAACCTAATATACCCCTATGCTCTTTGAGTATCAGACTAATTATAATAGACTAATTTTCATTTCATGACTAAACCCTAAACCACGAGGTGTCAGCCTTCAAGTTACATGAGAGATGCATCCAAAAATCATGCCATTAAAAGACAAAGCAAAGAGCAAAAATTTGTCGTAGATTAAGGTAAAATCCATAAATGGAAATTCCCCTAGAATAACTCAGACGCGAGCAGTAGTTAATTAACCATAGATCATTATAATGGAATAATAAGCTATATCATTAACCATGTATCATCTACAGCCATCTTATTGACTGGTATTTTTATACTTGTACTCAAAAAGAGTTAAGGGGTATATTAGATTTGCGGTAAAAGTGGATGTGTGTAATGCAGAGAAGGAAACGTTTTCGACACATATACATATATTCTTGATCAGCATCAATAGTCGAGTCTCTGTCTGTCTGTCTTTCCGTCTTGTTTATCGCCTAGATCTCACAGATATCACACTGCTACAATTGTAATTCAAAATTTCGCAAAGAATATGTAGAATCTACATCTACATTTTAGATGAAGAATATACATTGTAGATGTAGATGTAAAAATGCAAAATATTTAAAAATTCTACATAAATCATAAGCTCACAAATTTATATACTGACTGAGTACGGGTATAAAAGTAGAGTTGCGTCCACAGAAGCCACTCACACGTTCCTTCTCGTTTTCCATATATCTACGTAACTCCACTTGTTCTTTGTAAAGATACGTCTCTCTATCTCTATTTATGCAACTTTGCCACTGTAGATATTTATTGTACAGGTATCCAACTTTGGAAAACCATAATTGCATCCACTCTCTTTCTCTCCACACAACTGGACCGCTGAGCAGCTTTCCTTTTCTTCTAAAATATCTTTATGAGACATCCATATTCTAAGTAATCTAATTCTATGCACTGCACACTATAGCTCAAAATCGAGCCAGAGGCGGAGCTAAGCTAAAGAATCTTTCCAAATATAGATCCTGAGTACATACTGTTGTTATTAAACTATTTTCAGCTGATAATATAAAACATGCTGGATCGATGAAACAGAGCCTGATCTTATGTTATCTGATGAGAGATGAGCTTTCAAAGCTCTCAGTTTGCTCAACATCATTCGGAACGAATTCGTTTTACCGGTAGATGGTGCCTTAGCCAAGTAAATGCAACAAATACATTTACATTGACACAACAAAAATGTGTGGGGCATGCTTTTGGGGCTTTTGTCGAAAATCATTTGGAGTAGAGTTCATATACAAACTTTGAGGCATTTTCCGCCCATGAAGGAATACATATTCCCGATCTGCATCGAAATCCGAATCGTTTGAAATAAGTTACAGAAGTGGGTGTGTCGAATGCGTCGTCAGGGTCAGTTTGGCTCTAGAATTTGTAGTAAATTTACCAATAAATTAAATTTTTAATAAATTGTTTATCTTTCTGGACGAATCTCCGTTATATTCAATCAGGTACTCCAGGTACAATTTAATAAAAGCTTACCCCAAAACAGAACAAACGAAAACCGGCAAGGGATCGCGAAAGACAAGAATAAGTGGCAGCGAGCGCCTACAGCTCTGTGAGGAGGTTGGACCACAACTGGGATCTGCACTGGCCAAGTACAATGCCATTATCTCGCAGCCCAGAGACCCAGATCAGAACCAAAATCTAGCAAGCAATGGCAAACAAGCGAATTGAACAAATAACGAGATAATTAATTAATGCAAAATATAACATGAGTTAATTAGATCTCGAAGCGCCAGCCAATTGAGCAAACAATCGAAACGCAATGGAAAAAGTAACGAATAAAACTATAAAGAAAAGCAAGCTTCGGGACCCGAAGTCTAAGATACCCTTGCAGATTGTTTTTATCAGAATTACTCGTCTATATACTATACTAAACTATACTATAGTTAATAGCATAGCTTTTTAGAATACATTTGATTAGCTTTCTGTTTCAGTAGGGCCCGCGCCTCGATCGACTCGTGACTATTTTCAATTAAATCAAAAAAAAAAAAAACCTTAAAATTTGTTTGATTTTATATAAATTTTTGCATTTTAAATAAATATAGATTGGCAATCTCCAATATTATAGCAACAAATATAACCATTAGATGTAAAATAATTTTGTCCTGCTTGAATTCTGCTTTGATTCAATTATCTCTAAAAACAAAAACCAAATACATATACGATAGCCATTGGTGTTTCAGGAAAATATCACATTTCGTTTTTAAGAGGTGTTTGGCTGAACAGCTTAGCAGGGCAACTGGTCGAATAAACTTTTTGTTGCAAAAAGTAAACCCAGTCTTGGTTTAGCAATAGTTAGTTAGTTAGTAATAAAGAAACCAAAATGAGACCGGAACGATTGTCTGATGAAACTGCTGTCCCACGAAATTCTAAGTAAATCTAGAGTCAATCCAAATTGCTTTCAGGAATGACAAGATCTTAATTTGGTTTACTATTGGTACTACTATTTACTATTGGTATATTGAAAAGTCGGAGGGACATGAGGACTGATGATTACTTTTTGTTAGAATCGGTTCTTAATGCTATTGTTGCGAAATGCTCTCTGCCAGGGTATCAATGTGGGATTACCGAAGGAAAGCGAAAACAAATAAACGAAATACAACAGCCAGAAGCGGTTTAGTGTAAAACACAAGCCCAAAACAAGGAACGCAAACGTAAATATAAAAAAACTGAATAGAAGATAAGAGATAAAGTCGGTACTTATTTCCATTCGCACTATTTTCATCGGTGTCCAGTCATTGTCTTTGATAACATTTTAGTTTGCTGAATTTTACAGTGTGATATGTATAACAGGAGGGAAAACAAAATGTGGTTGCTCTACCTCTAATATTCTCTGAGTTATAGGCGCTCATCAAGACGTACAGACTGACGGACATACAAAGTTATATATATCAAGGCGGCCATTGATTCTGACCAATAATATATTTTATATACTTTATGATATACTTCTAGTTGTTGCACACATCCACATCCACTACAAAACTAATATCCCTATAAAGTTCTCTTTGAGTATGGACTATAATAATATATCCGTAATACTCTTTGAGTATCAGGTATTAAAAGCACACACATAAGTATTTTTGTACATACAAATTTCCCTGTTTCGTTAATTCGAGTTATGCATTTCTGAAAAGTTGTAAGTCGGTATTGCATTTGTCTATCCTAAACTTCACTTTATGTTACCGAATAAAAATGTTTACCAGATTCTGCACAGAACAGATACCGCTTTGGTTTATGTACTTGTGAAACCGATGCGAATCGTGTGAATGGGGAAAGTACACCGAAAGCAAAATATCGCCAGTAAAATCGGCAATCGTGCAACGAAAAGAAAATAATTCAAATCACCGGATGGGAAAACGAAGAGGAGCGAGGCTCCATCGGCAAATCGCTGACGTCTACGTCTGTCTCTGGTGACGTGGTTGAAGATTGGGGAAAGGGAGAAAGAAGCAGAGTTAAAATTAACCCAAGTACAGAAAGGGCACAAACAGACGCACCACCCAAGTTCGGCGTTGAATTCACATGCGTCAGCCAACGTCTCTGTCCCTCCGACTGGACTCCTGCTGTTTGAACTGACGTAGCTGCAGTTACTTCGTCTGACGTTTCTGCCACTGGGCAGTGACGCTGCCTTCTCCAGCCGCGACGACGCAGGCTGATCCTTCGGCTGCTGTTGCTGACAGCTCCTCTATAATCATTCCTTCCACCTCCGCTGCCCGCAAACTTCTCGAAGCTATTTCCCATTTTTAGAACTGTTAAGTGGGATGGAGCGAGGGAGATAGGATGAATTATGTTCAAGCACACCACGTACCCACGCACCCACGCACAACGAGAGAGATAGAGAGACAGAGAGAGAGAGAGAGAGAGAGAGAAATGGGGAGTCAGAGGAAAAGTGGGAGAGTGGCCCTCCGAGAGCGAGAAAGCTTTTGACATTGACATTGACCAGTCAGCTGTTTCGTGAAAAGAGGAAGAGGAAGCTGCTGCTGGTGCTGCAGCAAACTCACACAGATTCAGGGTCAACTTCTACATACACGCAGTGTACGTAGTGATGTAAGGCATTCAAAAAACAACAATGGATATACATAAGTAACTTTGCATCACTAAGAATTAAAGAAAATCGCATACATTTCCGTCCTGACCCAAATAGAAGCCGACGCGATGCTGCTGCGTCTGCTGCTGCCCATTCGCCGATGGCTGGGAATGATGCTGCTGTTGCGTCGGCTTTTGCGTCTGTTGCTGCTCCGGGACAGCGTGCTGCTTATAGTGGGCGGCCGCTGCTGCAGCAGCGCTGGATTGGCTCGATTGACGCAAGTCCTGGTATCCCGACTCCAACTCCGTGTAGGACATGATGATGCCTCAAGCGTTTAGCGTTTATTTTGCCTGCGAGTGGTTAGTAAGTGCGTTGGCGTTTTGGTTAGGCAAGGAAAGCAATGCTGCCGCTGGCGCTGCGCTGCTGCAGCGCTGCTTCAGCTTTTGCGGCTTTTCTGCTGCAACGCAGAGACGACACACACACACACCCACGCACTCAGAATCTCTCGGAGAGCAGCTCCCACGAAGACAAGACGCACAAACACACAATCACGCTGGCCAGGCACAGCTCTCATGCACTCACACACAGACAGACGCACTTGTCGCGTGTTAAAATGTGTTTTTAATTTTTTTTAATAATATTCTGCTTCTGCTTCGCTTCTCTCTTTTGATTTCTTGTTCATATTATAGTTTCTTTTCACACAAAAATAATGTAAGTCCACTCTCCTCTCTGTTTGGCCTTCGATTTTCTAGAATAGAATTGGTTCTCTTTGCCCTTCTCTGTGCTCTATATTTTGTTGTTGCATTTGTTGGTTTTGATTCACTCAAGTTACGAAAGATTTTGCGTTTTGTTGTGTATTTTTTAACGATTTTATTACTGCTGCTGGAGAGCCGCCCCGCGCACAATCATGTGGGTCGGCGGGGTGTAGTGATGCAAGTGTGTGTTGCAGGCGGGTGCGGGGAATTAAAAACTATTAATTTAATACAATTTTGCACGCACACGACGTCCGCTCGATGCCAAATGTTTTGACAAGTGGTGGTAAGCTTTTCAAGCGAATTCAGCGCATGGCTGTGTGCTGTGGTGGTAGGTAGGTGGGGAGGCAAAAGCTTTCAGTCGTTCCATTTCGTAAAGTTTGGCGGCAAGCGAAAGCTTCGAAGCGACGCCAGCTGTGGAGTGGGATAGATTGAAATGATTTAACGTCCGCGAAAGGCTTTCGCCATAGATTTACCCTCTCAGCGCTGCTTTAGATGCATGGCCAGGAGCTTGGTTCGGATGCGTTTGCGATCCCTCGATATTATCTCCATGCGCTCTTGGACGCTCGTCTGGAAGAATATCAGGTGGAGAGTGCGACTGGCCGAACAGAGCTGGAAGAGAGCGAAAGAGATTGACAAAAGTTCAAGAATATTGTGAGAAGATAATCTCAAACCTGCTGTAGGAGACGCGCCTTCAGGCGTATGTTGCCGGGCTCCTCCTCGTCAAGACTGGTGCCGTAGGTCTCCAGGTGCAGATTGAGCACAAAGATGAGGGTGTCGCGTATGGTCTGGACCACACGCTGCACTTGCTCTGTGCGAAAGAGACGACGCACGAGATAGCCCCGCACACCGGCATTGATGCAGCTTGCCGCAGCCTCCTCCTAACGGGGATCATATACAAAATGGTGGGGGTGGGGTAAAAGATAGGATTTGCTAGCTACTTAGGCGCCTGATGGATCGATCTAAAAATTGATACTATTTATTTGTTAGTAATTTTGCTAGTTAGTGCTACCAAATGTTGTGTTAGATCAGAGTTTTTGTTCCCTTTGATTCCGGCAGTATTTGTTAAGGCACGTGGTTGTCTCGGTTTACCGCTATTTCTTATGGCTTCTCGCCCGCCCAGCGCTGCATGCGAAAGTGTATCGATTGAAAATTGATGGAAAGAGAGGAGGTGAGTGCCCAGTGGTGGCAGAAATAGAGGTTAGGTTCAGTTCAGTTCGATTCGATTCGGTCCAGGGCCAACTAATTTGGGATTCTCTTTTCCGTCTTCTTCTGTAAACTCACATTGCGTCCGCGCATGGGCGTTGACGTTGTCTTCCTGGCTTTTGATGAACTACCCTGCTGCAGCTGCTGCCCATGCTGTCCCTGGGTCGGACCACGACTGGGCAGACGTCGGGCAGTGCTTTGGGCCCTGGTTTCGGCTGCATTGACGCCTCCTGGTGTAGTCTTCTTAGGACCTGTGCGGCCGACACTTCCTCCACCGCCACCCACGACGCGCTGCACTGGAGCTTTCGTGGATCCCGGTCCTGAATTGGGTCTGCCGTTGCTGCTCTTTTGTGGGGCAGATGCAGTCCGGTTTTTGGGCGCAAAAGCCTTGGCTACTGAACGCTTACTGTTGCTGAGGCTGCTGTTGCGTAGCGGCATCTGGCCGGAGCGTGGCGTGCTCGGAGCACTAGTCCCGGAGAGTGGCTGCGGATCGTAGTCTGAACTCAAACTTAAACTCTTCGAAACCACCTCGTCCATCTTGAAAAGGCACTTGCGTGAGGACTGCTGGCGTGGTGGGGGAGTAGGTATGCAGCGGTCCGCCATGGGTGCGGAATAGTAAGAGTCTGGGGTACGCGGCGACGCCACTGTGGGCGAGATGGTTATTGTGTGGTTCGGCGACGTGCAGCTGCCACCACTTGTAGTGGCCATGCTGTTGCTAATGGGCTCATCGCCCTGCGAGCTGCTGCCCAGGTGCCGCTCCAGAGACCGGGTGCTGGTGTACTCCGACAGCTGTTTGGAGAGACCGTCGCGATAGACCGACAAGTCTATTTCTCCGCAAATCTGGTTGATGAGGAACTTCTGCTGGCGATCAAACTCTCCCTGCATGCGCAGGAGCTCCTCATGCTGATACTGAACCAGCTGATTGAATCGGTTTTTGTGTGTCCGGAGGTAGCTTCGCAGTTCATCCACGTGGTTCACATGGTCCAGCTGTTGCTCGTTCAAGATGCGCTCGATCATGAGTTCGATCTCTTCGTCCAGGTTTGGCTGCTCTTGGCGCGACATTTCCGTCTGCTGGCTTGCTGGTTGCTCCTGTTGGTTGGGTCTGACGGGACACAATCGAAGGCAGCCGCTGATCTGGGTGCTGCTGCGGCTCTTGGGACTGCGGCTCACCCGCTTTGCCTTTGACTCAACCGTCTCCCGCTGAAAGTGGGCCTGTTCCCGATCTCGGGCCTCCGCATCCGCCTTGCGCTGCATGTGCTCCACCAGAACCTTGGACGGCTCCTCCAGGGTAAACGATCGAGATCGTTGAACGGGACAGCCACCAGCACCATTCAATTTGAACGTATGGCTCGACGAGGGCTGTGTCAGTGAGGGTGTTGTACTTGTGTCCAGTATCTCCTGCCCCTGCCACACCACAGTGGCCGGCTCGGTCGATGTGGATGGTAGGGAGTCGGTTGCGGGTGGCAGCATCCTACCCAGGCCTTCCCGCTCAAAGTGCAGGATACAATTTGTGATATTGTTCAACCTGCGCTGATGGACCGTCAGCACGGAACTGCCCAGCGACTTGGAATTTTCCTGCTGTGGCTTTTGTTGCTGAGGAGTGGGCGGATTCACCTGGATGGTGGGTATATTGGCGTCCTTTGCATTCGCCATTTCAAGGCCAAGAGACTGGGGACGCTGCGGCTCCTTGTTGCTGTTAGGTGGATGGTCGAAGATGTACGTCTTCGTTTGCTGCAGATGCGGCAGACCCCGCCTTCTGGCCAATGGAGTTGTTACTATTTCCGGTCTTTTCACTCCTCTCTTGGCCCCCTGGAACTCTGACCGTTTCGAACTTCTTTTCCAGCTGAAGAGCCATATGCTTGGATAGTTGTATATCGCTCCGCTTCGTCGCCGTCATCTGAATGAGGCAAAGTCATGCTTAAGCAGGGCCGCTCCTACAAATACATATGTAAATACTCACCAGAGGCGGCAGAATGGCCTGACCATCGATGTGGAACCTAGAGCCAATGCTGTTGCTAGAGCTCAATCCAGAGAGGGCGTCGGAACTGTGTTGGCTGGGTGTGTTGGGACTTGAATATGGTGGTCGTATCTGTCGGGGTCGTGGCTGTGCTTTCAGTTCCCTCCTGGCTCTGAATGTGGCTCTGCACGACCTCTGCCAACAGCTTCTCCATTGCCTTGCTGCGCGGGGACAATGCCGTGACCGAACCCGAAGGAGATGTCACTAGGTTGTTTGATTGCTCTTGCTTTTGTATTGCTTACCGGGTACTATCCATGCTGAAAAATTAACTAAAAATGTTTGCTACTTAAATTTTGAAAGACTAAATCGACCGACTCCGGACCTAAGGCAACTGAACAAAAACAAAAAGAAAACCCTAACAAAACACTTGGCTCAGTTGCTACTAGATATGATAGTCTTTCGATGGAAACCATACACAATATCGATAAGATAAATAGGCGGCGAACAACGTTGGAAAATCAATTAATTATTTAATTTGTATTCATTAGGTATTTGCTTTGATGTTTGTGATAAACGTCGACTTCAATGCCAACCATTTAGTAACCTACCGCACTTTTGGCGGGTTAACTAGACCAGAGGGCAGGATAACATATTTAATTTCAAATTTCAATTTGAATTCGCGAGATCATAATATCTTTACATGGGCTATCGATATCATGCAGAAATTACTATCGAGAGCACAACTCCATTACCAAACGCCATCTCTAGGGTAGAGCGCGCGCTTTAATTTCCACACACTCTACAAAAAGTAATCTCCAACGTGAGTTTTCCCTGGTAGACATACATAGATACATTTTGATCAAAATATAACAAATGTATGCATCCCAAAAAAAAACGCGTGTTCAGTCCTCGTCCTCGTTCGCTGTTCGATAGCCCAAGCAATCGATTGTCAAATTGTTTTACTCAATTTGGCGCTTCACTGATGAGCGTCAATGTCGCAGTATTGCTTCAATATCTCAATATCTTTTGAACTGCGCGGTTGTAGCAGAGTGTATTTTTTTTGTTGTTTTTGCGCGATCGGCATTGTTGTTACGAATATTATGTATATTGCCATTACTGCGGCAAGAACTGCCCCCAATTAAAGTGTATATAAACATATAATAGCCAAACCAAAAGTACGCAAACCAAACAAATGTATCCAAGCAAATCAGCAACAAAATTAAACTTGTACGAGAGAGAGAAAATTGCCACCCACATGTGCTGGAAAATGGACTGTCCTGTCCCATGTGCTGTTGTTTGTCTGAGATTTTTTGGTGTAAACTGCGTTCTAACTATATCTCCATCTCCATTCTATGTGCGTGTGACTGTGAGTGTGTGTGTGTGTTTGCAAATGGGCCGGGTGTTGGGGGGGGTATAGCAGAGTTTAGTTTCGCAAAAATGCTCATTGTCTAGTAGTTGCGTTGTATGGGCGCAATGCCCCTTCTCTCTGCTCTAGCGGGTGACTCAAGTCATATTCACTTGACATGGAACGCTTCCCCTTCGCCCACCCCACTCATTGACATGTGTAAAAAGCAAAAACAAGAAGCGCCAAGTTTTGCACATATGTAGGTGCATGTATATGAACATATATACTTGGATATATATATATACATTCACACACACTCGCATCTTTGTATATGTATATTCTGCGACGCAATTGAAAAGACATCGAAGGCCAAACAACTTTGCTTTTTATATGTACATTTTTTGTTGTTGTTTTTTTTTGTTAGTTTCCTTTGTTTTTGCTATTATCACAACTTCTTTTTGGTTGGGCAGAGGGCTGCGAGAGAGCTTTTACTTCTGCTCTTCCCACGCGCGCACGCTCGCTCTGTCACAGGCGGCTCCAAGGTATATTAACTGGAAGGTATGGCGGTACTCTAATTTGTTTCTCATTCTATTAGTCTCCCATACACGATTGATGCGAAACTGATAGATGCATGTACATACATATGCGTATGTCCAGCATGTCCATGCCTTGCCTTCAATTAACATACCTTGCACGGTTCTGGCTCACTCAATCTCACAATCTCAGCCGGTGTAATGTGACAGCGACGCGTTGCGTTGGCCGCGGCCCCCCCACCCACGCTTCACCCATTAAACATAGCAGAGCAACAAAAACAAAATGAAATGAAAAACAAGGGAAAATGTTAATCATTCACAAGTCCTTGAAGAAAGTCGCAATAACATTATACTTTCGATGGTGCCACAACGCAGTTGTTTCTTTGTTTTTCCAAGAAAATGTCGACGTTCGAGTAAAAAGAAAATTGCAATCACCCCACCACAAATGTACATCAGTATGTATGAATTAACGTTTCTGTATGAGCATCTGTATGCCTCTTAGTGTGTGTGTGTGTGCGTGTTTGTAAGTATGTGTGAGACGGGCCCTCAAAATATGGATTTGTGTTTTCGTTATTTTTGCACAAAATCCGCTTTCAACAAAAACAAAAACAATTTCGCTTTGCTATTCCTATCTCATTCGGACTGTTTTGGACTTTTGTTGTTTTGGTAAAATGCCACATTTTTATGTATTTTCATTTCTACGCAGCAGCCATCACAGGGCTCTCATTGTGAACGTGAACTGGGTGCCACACCACAAGCCATTGTGGGCCAGCAAATCCAACGAACGGTAACGGTAACGATATCAGGAAACAAGTGAAAACTACGCCCATGCGCACCAGCTGATTCAGAACCTTTCCCATCGGTAAACGGATTGTCTCTCGACTAAAATCCAAATCGCAACGGAAATCGTAATCAATAGAAAAAGACTGTAATTGAGGAAAACCAACCCCCCGCTAATCGCGGGAGCAGTTACGAAGCAACGAAGCGATACCAAAGCAGAAAGAAGGAGAGTGGCCGCAGAAGAGGAAGAGGGAAGAGTACACCCCCACAAACACAAAAACAACGCACGGGAAAATGTTACAGCTTCCCCGCCCATCGCGGTCCACGCTGCAATGTGGCCTGGCCGCCCTGGTTACAGTCTTGCTAATGGCCTGGTAAGTTGTTCTCCCGACAAGAGCACTCCTTCATTCATCCGCATTTCATTCATGAGTCGAAGGGTCGGTCCGTTAGCCTGTTGCTGCACACGGAAATGTTGCATTTAATCATTCATAAATAGATACAATAGGTATAGTCCAGAACCTCCAGAATCCTTTATGCAATTAATAAAGCCTTCGAAAACTTTGAGCCCAACGACAGAAAAGAAAAGTCTTTTTGGTCACTCAGTAGAATTCCTTCGAATCACATCTCATCGCTTCGCGACGCACTTACAAGTAAACATTTCAACTTTTAAGTGGGTCATGCAGCACCCCGTTAGATCCCCCGTCCATATAAACGCTTCGAGCATTTTACTCGGGGCTAGGTAGGAGGGGCAGAATGACGAAAATAAGTTATATAGCCGGTGACACAAACGCTTACGGTAACAGCGGCCGGCGGTAGTCGGCAGGAGGAATGGAGCAAAAAGAACGTCGCGTGCCCAATTCCGAAACAAAAATATATACATACATACATATATAAAAAGTTGCAATGCTTTATTTTAAGAATAAATGTATGTAAATGCACACTACTATGTACCTACATTTGTATGTATATTTGCATGTGTATGTGCATGCATATATGTATATGCCTGATCTCTTTGTACGTGCCTTCCACCTTTATTTTGGTGGTCTGGCTGCTGGCGTCTCTCAGCCCACACCCTCCCGGAGAGTGCAGTTTAGTATGAGTGCTTTTTATATGTGTACACATGCACACATTAATGTCATTCCATGCATCATCTGCCTCCTCCCACTGAGCAGCCAGCCCCTTTTGGCAAGGCATTGCGTTGGGCATTTAAAAGCATTCTGTGTGGCACAATTAACCAAAAAATTAAACGAATTTAATACAGAGAATGATTTGCACGGAAACAGAGAGAAAGATCTACATAGATCTCGCGGCTCACATACACATGCACACATGCATGCTTAAATAAATGCTACATATGTACACAGATTTGTGCTTGTTATGTATGTACTGGGTAAACGTGTAAAGAATTCACTGATTTCACTCCTCGCCATTTGAATCACCCAATGCTCACAAGCCAAGTCTTAGTGCGCGCTTAGATACGAATCCTTAGGTCGTTCCGGCTGAGATGTCAATCAATCCCTCCAATACTGTATTACACTTCTGTTGTTCAGATAGTATGTACCATCAAAAATTTTCTCCTATGCAGCTGCTGCCTCGTTTGGTCAGTGCTTATCGCTCTCTGCTTCCGTATCTAAACGGGACAATTTTGCGGCGTTTGCTATTGTCTTAGTTTTGCTTTTGCCTTTTCAACTACAAAACACAGCAATTCAATCAATTCTGTATGTAACACATGGCAATTGCAACAGCCGTAAATCAGTCGATCGCATCAGCAGCTTTAGAATGCTCTATCTATTCAGCTCTATCTCCAGCTTCCCCGCTTCTTCACTTCAGTGGAGCTTGCTTGGCGATAATCAAATGGGGAAAAAGTCAAAAAGCGCGAGAGATAATTCATTTGACGCTTTTCAAGACCAAAACAAGTCGTCAGCATTTGGTAGGGCAAGAAAAATAAACAAAAGAGCAGCACAAAGCAAAACAAAAACGCGGGGGAACGTTGTGAGTCGCTGCGGTGGCCGCGACTCTACTCTTATACCCGTATTCAGTCAGTAATGTGTATATGTACATATATGAGCTTATGATTTCAATTTGTTTGCTACATTTGTCATCTACATCTGCAATGTAGATGCTACATCACATGAGCCTGGAAACAATATCTGTTTGCTTCAGCTTTTTTAGTCTCTGAGATCTAGGCGCTGCTCAGATTCATTCGTGGCTTGTGCTTCCATCAGGTGTGTGTGATGTAACCCCTGCCCTCAATAAGGGTATAAGGGAAGATGACCAAAAACCCAACAGTACTACTGCGTTTGCACCTCATACAAGCCAACGTATGTTCGTTCGAGTATTGTTTACCCGAAATCAATAATGAAAGTACATATCAAATATCAAATGTTGTGGATACCACAGACTGGTTGAAGAGGGCGACCTTTATATTTTTATTATACTTCCTTTCGACTGCAAACACAGCATGTATAGATCCAAATATCAAAAGCTGATAATGCTCCTCAGAGGTAGGAGAAGGAAAGAGCCTGACACATTCACATTGGACCCTCGTAGAAGGGAAGAACGCACTAGCCAATTGCGGTACCCTTTGTTATCCGAGATGAGCAAAGAAGCTGACAGGGGAGGGCAGATCGATTGCCTGCGTCACCTAGATGGAATGTGTTGAAAGTTTATTTTTATTTATTTATTATTTTTTTTTTTTTTCATGCAATCGGTGTGTGCAGTGCGTGACAGAACTTTAAGACTGCTTGCTGAATTTAAAGGCATAAACAAGTGCAATATTGATTCATGTCGATCGGTGCTAGTCGAATAACGTTGGGAAATTGTAAAATAAATCCACACTGTGACCAATCAAAACAGCGTTTGATCGAGGTATCGATAGCTTTCTAGTAAAAAAGTAAAAGACTAACGGACCCATCTATCAGCTAGCAAATGTTGTTGATATCGATTATGGAGACAGCGCCGGTACGGTACTTCCGCTTTGATCGAACGAGTCTGACACCAGCAGCAAAGAAGCCGCACAGTTTCGGTACGCACCGTACACACGGGCTGGGTTCACATGAACGGCTAATGAGAATCAACAATCCAAAAATCAGAGAAAAAAAAAACCACAAAAAATACGCTCGCTGGCTCAACCAGGTTTGACCAGCTTTTGGGGAACAAGACTGGGTATGCTTACGCTTCCTGCTAGAACATGTTTCACTCGCACGCAGCACAACCCCCCAGACATACAGAGACAGATGCTTGGACACATCAGTTATTAATTAATTATTGCCCTAAACGTAATAATAGAGTTGAAAGATATTCGGGCATCATTGTGCAGTTGCGATCGAGTCGTTGGCATCTACAGTCGAACTCTGAGAACGATCTTCCAGTCCTACTCCTCCACTCATCCGCTGGTACTGCTCCTTCTATTACTTGCAGGGTTCGTCCGCTTGGAGTGCTGTTCCTTGGCCTTTTCAGCTACTGGCTGTATTGGACGCGCTGCAGTTTCCGCATCGTTCTCACGCCCGAGGTGCGCAGCAAGTTTGAGAGTTTGGGACGGAGGGCCGACGACTGGCGCAGGAACAGCCCGAGCATGTTCTGCGTGGTGAGCACTGGCTGTTTAGCCACCTTGGCCGTACTGGGCCACATAATATCTGGGTCCACGGTGGTGCTTACTCTCCTGGTGCTGTCCGCACTGGTATCCACCAAGTATAACTTTAAGCTGCTGAAGATTGAGCACAAGGTGCAAGGTGAGTTGCAGGTTGCAGCAAGACGTGGGGCAATGCAGAAGCAATGCAATACTGAACAAAAATATCCTTGCAGATTTCCAGTGGTCAGAGAAGCTGAACTACAACAACCTGGAGGCGGAGGTGGAGGACGAGTTCCTGCCCGATGTCAATGAGTCGAATCTGTTCGTCCTGGAGCGGGCAAGCGATGTGGCCACCATCAGCTCACCCACCGATGCCGAGGAGGAGGACGAGCGCAGCGACGACATACCTTCGGAGCTGCTCATACCAGACGTGATACCCGAGATTGATGAGCACTCCACGGACGAGGACGATGAGCTGGCCCCCCTCTCCCAGCAGAGGCGGGAGGTGGCTGCCGTCTCCTCTCTGGAAGCGAACCCCAAACGGGGCCAGCAGGATGTCAGCTCCTCCTCAGACATGGACTTCCGCAAGGGCCACTTCAAGCGCGACTCTTCGCTGTCCACCACCTCGTCCTCGTCGGAGGAGAGCCTCTCCAAGGGCCTGCAGTTCCCTGATCACACGACCGTCGATGCCGTCGGCGGGCCCCAACTGCGGCAAATCACTTCCGGGCCCGCACACCAGATCTCTGATCCGGCCAGCGAGCTGGTGGCTATGGCCGTTAAGAGCCAGGCACAGGCGCTACTGGCCAACAGTGGCAAGCTGCTGCCTAGCCTTGTCTCCGGCCTGGTGCAGTGGGGTGCGGGTGCCAACAACGCTGTGGATGCCGCTGATGGTGGGTCTCAGCAGCAGCAGCAGCAGCAGCGGCGCATAGTCACCGCCCTGGACTCGTCCGACGAGAGTGATTTTGAGATACTCGAAACGGATGACTTTAAGTAATTATCGGTTCCGGCTCTAGCTCCAGTTCCAGCTTCAGCTCCGATTTGCCGTATTATAAAGCTATTACAGTACAGTAACTACATGCATATACTATAACACACACGACACACACACACACACTAACAGAAAACGGGACGGACGGAGATAAACACAGACACACACACACACAGATGGAGAAGATAATATCCCTGGTGGAGATTGGCATGCCATATTTCTTACTGCAGATCTGATCTGGTCATATATTTTGCTACTGCTATATACTACTTACTTTACACCCAAATGCATGCATATGTACAGACGAGTATATTTGTGTGTGTGTGTGTGTATTTGTATGCCTAATTAAGTTTTAATGTTTTCAGTGATCGGAACAGAAAGGATTTTGTTTCGAATTTTTGATTCAAACTGACTTTCGATAGGTCTTTCAAATGTGACCCTTAGCCGTTAAATAATTTGTCTTTGTTTTATTTCGACGGCCATTTACATTTACATTTTTTTTTTTTCGTATTTAGTTGTGCGCTTATTTTTTATGTCTATGATTTATCCTATTATACTTTATGTTTAGTTTGTATATCTATTTGTGTTTCACTCTTCTTCCTGCCTACACCCGCCCCCGAACGACGCTAAACGCTAGAACAGAAACAGAGATGGGACGGACAGTATGGAACATGTACATATATGTACATATCCACCACATGCACACAAACACACACACATATGTATATGAATATGAATATATATGATATATATTGTATATCTGTATGTAGATGACAATGTAAGGCCCTTAAGCTACTTAATCTGAGTTCCAATTCGAAATCAAAAGATAGACCATTCTAAAAAAATCAGCTACGTTTACAGCAACAAAAAAACACCAAAAAAATATGAATATGAATCAAAATGAACAGAAAAAAACAAAATGATGCAGGCCCTGGCACAGTGGCTAGCTGCAATCTAAGCCCACTTCCACACACGTTTTTACATGTATTTTTGAGTGAAGCATTCGAGCATGTAAGCCCGTTCCGGTGCTATTTATAGACCCATATGGAACCCCATAGTATGACGTGCACAAACAAAAAACCCCTACATATGTAATAAATAGAAAAGAGAGAATAAAACCAACGAAAAGAACGGAAAATTGTAGACAACTTCGGAGCAGCGAAGCTTAAATGCCCTTGCAGTGCGACGACTACTAGTACAGATGAGTAAAGATTGCAATCTGGATTTTAATCCATGCCTTTGCAGATCTCTAGTTTATTAATCGGTTTAGTAAGGCCAGCTTAAGCGGCATGTTTGCTTTTCTAAATGTCCTCTTCTATTTTAAATGATGTTAAACTATGTATAATTTGTAAAGTTTGGTTGGAATGACTTGCGCAATGGAAAAGTGGTGCTTGTTACTTTAGAGATCGCTCAAAAGGTCGTCCGATTTTATTCAAACTCCTCCTAGATGTGTTAACCCATATATGTAGAACCAAAGACAATATAAATAGTAAGATGAGTAACGCCCATACATTTAAATTGTAAAAAATTTTATTGAGGGCACAAATCATTTTGCTAATTTAAGCAGTTATTTTAAATTTTAATTAATTCACATTGCTAAGAAATTAAATATATGAACACAGAGAATACAATTATTTTATTATCCAACCTTTCAATGGCAAAAAGATATTCGATCCTATACTCTGATAGATTTGGAGTTTTTAAAAATTATAATTATAAAAAGCTGCTAAGCACAGCGTCTTAATAAGTTTTGCAACCTGTTTATCTTTTCATTTAAAACTGGTTTAATTGGTTGTTAGCCTTGATTCACATACTGACCTTTTCTCAATTCCCTATGATTTCATCATAATTTCACTTGAGTTTTATTTTTTCCAAAAAAAAAATACAACTCGTGCGTAAATCATTATTATTGAGTTTTTTTTTTATTGCTCAAACATAATTATTTAATTAATATAACTCAAAAATAGTGAAGAATAATTTGAAAACTTATCATTACGGACCCTAGAAGGACCCCCCAAAGATACATAGTTTCTCTGGGACTAGCCTGGCCTTGGGACCTTAAAAGTTCCGTAGAAAGGGCTCTTGGAAAACTAAATAACACAGCCGGCTGTGGCAGTGGCAAAAGACAACAATAATAATGGTCTGATGCCAGCAAAGACTGTTGCCCCAAGGATATTTATCAATTTTTTTACCATTTTCGATTTTTCGATTTTATTGCTTGAAATAGGTAATCAATTAATCTGTATTGTGTTATGTTGTGTGCTCTTTTCAAAGTATCGGATTAACCTCATACTGAATTTATCTAACTTATGGGATAGGATAACAACACCCAAACCGAAGCTATATTCTCCCATTGGTACTGATTCTGGCCTGCCTTACTATCAGACACTATAGAAAAGAGGCTTATAAATTTATATGTGGGTACTCGTCCCCTCTGCAAGGGTATACAAATACATATGTACATAAGTGGAAGAGTGGAGGAAATTAGGAAAAGACCAGAGTTTCACTGGCGATCTTTGTCGCTGGGGCCCATCATCGCACGTTGTAGAACATTAACGAAATGTAAAAATATTTTTTATTATAACTATTATTTGCGCTATGTATTTTAAGTTGTAATCTAATTTGCGAAAAAAAACTAAATGTGATTTTATAAAAACAAGAGAAACTAAAATAAAAATCAAAAAAGACTTCAAAACGCTTTAAGCGGGGTCGGGGTCAACTGTCCGCCTTCAGGTCGACCTGGGATTCGGTCTCTGACTCGGAATTGGGATCCAGTTCCTGTTCGTTGGTCGTCGTCTTGGCCTTGGCGCCCTTTCGCAATGGGATCGTTTCGAGAATGGCCGAAGTCCAGTCTTGGCCAGCAGCCACCTTGTTGAGCAGCTCGAACACTTAAAGACCAAGGATGCTTACAATGCGCTCAGAGGATCGGGAATACGCACTGCAACTACTCACCATGGTAGGTACTAAGTACGGCGCGCGTCTTCATGTCAACATGTTCGCTGAGCGGCAGGCGGGCCGTGTTCAAGCCCAACTCCGTGGCCCGGGAGTGGCAGAGGCCCTTGAAGTGATTATGATCGACAAGGCCGCCAATAACATAAGTGCAGTCGGGCTGCACCTTGTCCAGCAGTTTGTCGGACTCGCAGGTGAGGTACACGAGCTTCTGCTTTTCGAACAGGTCGGCGTGGGTGCGATCGAAGTGGTATTCCACGTTCCAGTTTTCCCAGCCGTCGTTCTTCTTGAAGCACTCGTGGATGTTGCCGTTCCGCTTGATACCCGTGAAGTGGAGACGTCCCGGCTGCGCACTCCGCCGATTAATGGTGTATATCCGCAAGCACTGCTTCACGCACTTGGCTATGTCACGCTCCTGCATTAGGTCGTCGTAGTCCAGATCGATGGCCACGCTGAAGGTGGCCACCCCGTTCTCCGCGTTGGCCACCTGACGGCGTTTCAGCTCCTTACGCGAGGGTCCTACTCGCACCGGCAGTCCCTGTTCCTTGGCCTCCCGCCGCTTCTGTTTCTTGCGTTGCCGCTCCCGCTCCCGACGCAACTTCTTCAGCTCGGCAAACTCGGCCAGTTTCTTCTGCTTCTTTAGTTGGTTCTTGCTCTGCGGGGTGCCGGGCGTGGTTCCCGGACAGTTGTTGAGGCTGAGGACTGCTGGCTGGAGCGGCGTCTGGGTCTGCTCCGTGGGCTCCATGGTTTTTCCGTTCGCAAAGATCACTTTAAAAAACGTGTATTGGTGGTAGCCTGGCAGTGTCAAAAATCAGCTGTTAACTGAGCATCGATCGATAGCCGAAATCGTTATGGCCGTAAGCACTATTTTTGTATTTTTATTGGCGCGTGAAAAAACTGCGAGTTGGCTGCTGGATTTACGCTGGCCAGGAACGGACGCCGGACGTTGCTCTTAACTGCTAATACAGAGATTGCACGAGACGATACATTTGTGACAGAATTACAAACGGGTTCCCACAGCCAGATGGATCAAACAAATTGGATCTGAAAAGTGCACAAATCAATATTCTCCACCAAGTCTGCCACCAGCTCGAGATTCTCTCCTGCCAGGCTAATGTCATACGGCCATCAGCATGGAATGGTCTACGTGTTGCGCCCAACAGCACACATTATTTGCCTTGGGTCGGTCTAACAGCGATGAATAACATGTGTATATATCGATAAATCATTTCAAGCATCAGGAACAGGAGACGGTATATTTACGGTAGATTTGACACGTTGTGGTATATTTCGAAGGCGAAAATGGGGTGACAGGGTATATTTATGGTTTATTAAAAAAACAGGCTTAAATATTATTAAATAAGCTCAGAGACCAAGTTTCCAATGCATCGAGTAAGCGAATTTTCTCGGTGTTAAAATTAATCAAAAACCAGCAATTTCTGAAAATATGTCATCGGATTATATTTTATCGATAGGTTCGATCAGGAGATATATTATGCCGGTCATGAGAGTGTCTGTGCTGTGTAAAATATAGACGAAAAGCAGAGGAACATCGACAATATCAATCAGTTCGTTCTTGTTCAAACGAACGAGAAATATTCATCAGCTCAGCAGTCAACAGAAGAACAGCTAGCTTTTGCTGGCTACAGGCTTTAGCTGACAATCCAGACCACATCATGGCAACCATGTCGCAGCTCACGCGGCTCATTGGTCATGGTGCACAGCCGCGGACATTTGCTCGCTTTTTGTCGCACAGGTTGACAACGAAATCCAACACAAGATGCCTTTTCGGGGCCAGCACCTGGAGTGGGAAGAACCGCGACCTGGCACCACCTCAGTGGACGACAACGGCAGGCACACGCTACCTGCCGAGCCCGTGGCTGTTCACAAGAAGCAGAAGCCTTTGCCACAAGTCCGCACAGCCGACCCCAGCACCAGTTGCCCCCAACAAGACAGACATCAAGGCTTCTTCCACAACGACCACCGACCTCTTTGGGGATGCCACTAACATGGGGCTGTTCGCCAAGTTCAAGCACATGTACAAGCAGTATTGGTATGTGCTGATCCCAGTCCATTGCGTGACATCGGTCGGCTGGTTTGGCGGTTTCTACTACTTGTCGAAGAGGTAAGCCCTGCAAACTTTCCCAAACTCTAGACTATCCAGTGACGTTTTGTGTCCTGTCTTGTCCCGTCTTAGCGGAGTGGATGTGCCCTCGCTGCTGCAGTACGTGCATCTTAGCGAGAACATTATCGAGAAGGTGCAGTCCTCCGACATGGGACACTATGCCATCGCTTATCTGTGCTATAAGGTGGCCACTCCCTTGCGATACGCTCTTACACTGGGTAAGTCGGGGCACCGTTTTGACCCCCATCTTCATTATTCCATTAACCATTTTTATCTGTAGGCGGCACCACGGTGTCCATCAAGTATCTGGTGCAACGGGGCCACATCAAGCCGATTCCCAGCAAGAACGAACTGATTAAGATGTACGAGGACAAGAAGGCAACGCGCGCCAGTGCCAAGGCGGACAAGGCCGAGAAGGATGGGAACAAATGATCGTTGGACAGTGGCAAAGCTGCCCTCGGGCAGCTGTTGCCATTGTCCTTGCCGACCTCGAAACGTTTCGCTGCATGCAAGCGGCTCGCAGTTGACTTGTTGCCTTTTTTGTTAAACTGTTGCCTTTTGCTTGGCAGACGCGGACGGGGGTACTGGTGCTCTACAAACATAACTTTCCCTCGCCCTGGCCCTGGCCCTGGCCCGGCCCAAACCAAACACAGAACACAAAAGCCACCCGCCAGTGATTGCTCATCCGGGGAGCCGTCGCCAGGTGGCCGCCGCCTAGAATGAGGACTAATACCCCCTAAGCTCCCCGCCCCAACACGCTTAGAGCCTTGAAAAATCTTAAATATCTTGTAATTACATATATTTGCATAGTTCTCTGTTAGTTATGAAATCGTTTGAGGTCGCCGCAGAGGCACCCACAGACACACCTCCTCAGACACACAAGCACACACACACACATGTGTTGCCGGAGAAGGGCTGCCAGCAGTAAATAAATTTAGCAGTTATATATTTGTAAATGTAAGAGTGAGTTGTCGCAAAACAATAATAGCTTAACTTTTATTAAATGAAAATAAAAATCGCAGTTCTGTTTTTTTCGTGGAACCCTGGCCCGAATCCGATTGTTGCATATCCGAGCTGACAGTTGGTGAGACCACCACCAGTCATAGAAGCCCTATGGCAAGAGCAGTGTGAGTGGGAGAAGGACATATATGCTCTCACGCTTGTTTCTGTGGTCTCCGCGATGTTCCAGAATTGTACGCAACAATTCGTTTAGCTGAAGATCGATGGATCGTTTGTTTAAAGTGATGGGAGGGCAGTAGAATTTTCGGCGAGGTTTCACAACACTAATTATAATTAGTCGATAATTATCGATGTGTCTCATGCGGCGATTACCACCACCGATTGCGCGGACACTTTGCAGCACAAAGAAAGAATTCAAATTTGTTGTTTTCAATTTTATTTTTGCATTTTATTTTTCGTTTTTTTCTCCTGTTTTTTTGTTTGCCTTTTTTGCGTTTGTTTTGTTTGCTTTTTTTTTAACGTTAGTAAAATATCCAACAATTATAATTTTAACTAATAGTTAAGCCAGAAAAAATATATATAGTAGGTTGGTTGGTTGGTTGTTTTGTTCTTTGTTCTCATTTACAAATAAATAAATAATGTGTCTTGTTTTCCATTTTTATTGGTATTTACGTTGCATTTCCATACATTTGTTGCTCTTTGTGTGTGGGGCGTGGCTTATTGCACATTTTTAGCTGTTTCTTTTGTTTTGTTTTGTCTGCTGGAAACAATTTGAGTTATGTACACATATTTACTCGTACTGTCGCAGTCTGTGTCTGTTTATGTGTTTATGTGTGTGTGTGTGTGGTGTGTTTGGTTAATATATATCATTTACATAAATACAATAAATAAATAATTTACATAATATATATCTCATATATGTGTAGGTATAAAAACAATATAGGCAACAAAAAGTATATATATGCATGTATATATGTAGATAGCAAGTATTTCTTGGCTGGTTGATTGATTGATTGATTGGTTGGTTGGTTGCTGCTGTTTGTGGATGGCAGGGGGATCGTGGAGATGGTTGATGTGCAGAGGCAGGAGTCAAGGGATCCTCCACTTAAACTAGAAAATACGCACAAAATTCAACAAATTTGAGATAATTATTATTCGCCAAATGTCGAGCACCGCACCACCCTCCCCCAGCGGATTGAAGGAGATGATGGGGGGTGCTTGGTACTTGGGCGACCTTAAGTAGATCCTTTGCTTTTTCATAAAACTTCTTGAGACTAGTTCTGGTTTTCTCTGACCAAACAAAAAGCTAGACACAAACAAAAAAAAACGATTTAAACGATAGGCTTCCCCTAACCATTTTTGTCTGGGTTTAGGGAACTAGAGAAAAGTGGAACTTGTATGGTGTTTGTTTGTTTGGTGTTGTTCTCGTATTTCGCTTTCACATTTTCTTTTCTTTGTCGCCCTCTTTACACGTGTAATTGTAATTGTTTCTGTTCCTTCGTTTGGTTTTTGTTTAATTTGACTAATATTTAGCATTTATCATAAGTACGTTTTCACAATGCAGCATTCAGCATCACTTTGCGTTGTTTCCCTTTTGTCTTCGTCTTCGTCTTCATCATCTCCGTTTGCTTTATGGTTCAATTAGTTGTTATTTGTGGGGGGTTCTTCTTAGTTTCTAAAAAGCCGCTTGTAGCTCGTAGCTCCGTAGCTTTAATTTAATTTAAGTTAGTGTTTAGTTTGTTTTTTAAGTGATCTTTTTTTATGTTTGTTTATGGTGCGATGGCGATTACCTCCATTCCAGTTGCCAGTTGTCAGTTATCAGTTACCGTTAATCGCGATTATCGTTAAGTAGTATATTGGTGTTGTTGCTCTTTGTCTAGATGAAATATATTGCACACGAAAGACGAATTTTAAATATATAGAACTAGTTTTCTCTCAGCTTTCGCTTTAAGTTTTGGTGTTTCTTTTCTCCATTACTATTTTTTTAGTTTTTTTTGTTTGTTTTTGTTCTTCTTTTTTTTACACACAACCACATGGACACTTCTCCCGGCAAACCAATAATAGAAATAGAGTCCAATCGACTCCAATTTGGAAACACTCACTCACACAATATGTACATATGTGTGTGTGTATGTATGTATAACAAAGAAATATCGAAACACTGAGTGATGGATTTGTGAACTTAGTTTAATTTAATTTGTTTGGGGAGTTGGCTTGAGTTGAGTTGAGTTGAGACTGCTCTGCACTGGGGATTAGTTTGCCGAAAGTTGTTTTGTATTTTGCACAAATTCTTTGCATGTTATTGAATCGAAATTTTTTTTGTTTTCTTTTTCTACTGCTTTTCAGGCCACGAAGTTAAGAGTTTTTTTTTATATACACTAATCGTCGCTTATTATCCGCTACACTAGGGGGACCATTCGGGGACTGGGAGGGGGCACAGGCTCGCTTGCTTTTATGCTCTGTTTGTTTGTTTGTTTGCTTTTTTTGTTGTGGTTTGTTTTCCAATTAACATTTCTCCGACTTGACTTGACTTTTTTGTGTTCTTGGGTTCTGTTTTTGTTAGGAGTGCGCTTTTTCTTTTTCTTTCTCTGTCTCTGTCTCTGGTTCGGTTCTTTCGATACTCTGCTTGGCGTTGATTTTTCATAATTTTTGTTTTGTTTTTTTTTGTTTTAGATAAAATAAATCTTGTTAATTGCAATTCAACGAAGCGTTTCTACTGCTGTCCCTGTCCACTCCTTGATCTGTTTGCTGCTGCTGCCGTTGTCCCTGCCTGCGCCTGGTCCCTCCCATTCGCATCCCCCGCACATGTGCTCCTGCCCAGTGCCCAGTGCCCAGAAGCCACGCCACACAGATCAAGGACTCCTTTTGGACTGAGAACTGAGCCTTACGTACGCTCGTAGAAGAGTATATAAGCACTGGATGAAACGAGAAAGTTTTCGGCCACGGAATCGCTCACGCTGTTGGGGAAGACAGGAGTTAAATGACGTGACTGGGACTGGAGTGATGCTGCCAGCAGATCGGCTACACTTACATATTGTCGTTGAACTCGTGCCACTTGCGAGAAACTGGATGCTTGCAGAGTGCCGTATAATGACCGCCAGCCGTTGAGCCTGCACCAAGCGAGGAAGAAGAAAGTATGAATATAAATATGAGCTATGCCCTGCCCTGCTATACCCTGATGCCACTCACCCATATGATTGGATATCGCGTAGAGCGAGTAATGCACATTCGAGTTGGAGTTGGCGCCGTAGGACGCCATATTGAGGTCGCGGTCAGCCGTGGGGAACTCGACAATGTTCGACAGCTTGCTCCAGCGCGTCTCTGAGAAGCGCTTCAGATCTGAAATCGGGGCACAACAATTAGGTTTTTCTTAGCTCTACAATCCCCTTTTGGATATGCCATTGACGACTCACGTATGACAAGATATTTGGGGAAACGCTGAATGGTGAAGCTCTTGGTGCATTTTCGGCGCGTCTTGCACTTGGAGCATGTGGGCATCTCGTCGCCATCTAGGATCTCCTCGCGTATGAACAGATCCAGGCAGGCCTCCAGCTTGCAGCGCGATGAGGAGGGCAGTGGCACGCTCAGATCCCAGAATGGATCGAAGGTGACGCTCGTGTTGCCGCATGTCGTGCACTTCAGAGTGCTCTTCAGTTGTCCCACAAAGAGATCGCGTACCAAGGAGTTCTCATGCCGTGTATACCACTCCCAGGTCAGATCGGCCTTCTTATTGTCACTGCAGTTAGGGGATAGATAATGGATTAGATGTCGGTGATCAGGCGATCAGGAGATCGGGAACCCACCTGAGATTATCATCAATATTGAGGGTCTCGCCCTTGATGCCCGAGTTGAGGGCCGAGTGCAGCGAATCGAGGAAGAAGCGCAGGAACTCCTGCGCATCCTGCTGATTGTAGTCGCTGTACATGCGATGCTTGGCAGAGAAGGCCCGCTTGAGGTCCATGGGGGTTACGGTGTGCACGCTTGTTGTCCACATCTCCTGGATGAGTTTGGCAAATTCTGCAGCAATGACAGCAATGGCATTGGCATTAACTTATGAACTTATGAACGTAGTGTGTGCGCATTAGATGCGACCTACCGAAGAGTATTAGCTGATCCTTGGTGGCGGACGAGCGCGAGCCATGGTGTGTGCGGAGAAAGCGGGTCAGCTCAGTAGTGTGGCTCAGGCACTGGATGACCGAGTTCATGAAACAGGTGTTGCCGATATTTCTCAGGCCGCACAGACCTGTGGAATAGCATTCGGAAACGGTATTGATTAATGACACTTGGTAGTGGTAATGCGTCCGGGCCGCATTGGCGTTGGCGTGTGGCACTCCCCAATTCGGATACATCGGAATGTTGTTGGCTCCTGTTGCGCTTCAGCAATGGCATTCGCGAGGCAACGAATCAACCAACCCGGCAAACCGTTCTCCTTCTGATTCCCTATTATTTGAATCCCAGCTAAGCTTAGTGACGAGTGACGAGCGCCTGGTTTCTGGCTTCTGGTTTCTCCCTTTTATAAGTACAAATTGTAAACTCAAAATTTAAATAAATATCGGGGGCTGTTTTGGTTGCTGGTTTGCCTACGATTGATTTCTCCTCACTTTTCCCCTAAATTCGCAGCCTCCTCTCTATTCCTATCCGACAACAAACCCCCACAATCCCACATTCAGGGCAGGACTAGACAGGGACAGGGACTGGGACTGGGACTGGGACTCACCTTCGGACTTCTCTTCGCGCACATTCGCCGCACTGCGGTAGCCCTCGTCAGTGTTGTACTTGCTGCTGCCGCTCAGAGCTGACGAGTTGGATGAGGAGTACTGGCGACTGGTGGTGTTGCTGCTGTCCCGATCCCAGTAGCGGCTGGGTGTCGGCGACACCGGCGGCAGCACATTCCGTGTGCTGATGACGCTTCTGGCCTACGTTTTTCACAACAAAGAGAAGCGATAGCGATATAAGTTCGATTGATATATATATTTGGCGCCACGGACAGCAACAGCACAGTGTGTGTCCGTCGAGGTCCCGTCGATTGGCAACTGTCCGCAGAAGCAGGAGAGCAGCTAGCTGCCTTCTCCGACAGTTGGCAATCGATACGAGTCGATTAGTAATCGGTAATCAGTTTATAATCAAAGCACAGTTAGCAATCGAGCAGTTAGAAGAGTAAACGATAACAATAATATAATGCTGATGGGTTTGGGTTTGGGTTTTTTTTTTCTTTTGGGGGGGGAAGGCTTGGGGTGTGGGGTGTGTGGGGTCTATACTTTAATGTGGTGAGTATGTATGTATGTATGTGGTTTTGTGGTGATTTTCATATCATGCAGGGGGGGAGGGGCTTAAACGAAATGAAAAATGGCAATAAAAACTTCAGTAAAAAACGAACAGCGAACAGAGTGCGTGCGACAGAGACAACGTGAGAGACGAGACACAGCGGGCGAACAATAACAAATAACAAAAATTAACAATAATTAAATATAACAATAAGAAACATGGTGGGTGGGTGGTGGGTGGTGTTAGATGAGGAGGGGGGAGAAATTAGGGTGTAATAATAGAGCGGCGACGTGCAGGCGAGAGCGATCGGCGAAGGATAATGAATAAAGTGCCTCTTTCTGAATGTTCAAATTTCAAATTTTTCTAGCGGCAAGGCAAGGCAACAATTTTGGATTCACAAATCTTGCCCGCTCAAGAAAAGAGAGCACAAATTATATGAAAGTAAACGGAATGCAGAGAAACTCAGATATATAGAGAGACAGAGACAGAGAGAGAGAGAGAGAGAGAGAGAGCGAGAGAGAGAGTAATGTAAACTAAACAGAACTGTACTGTACTCGACTGCAATGCCTCGACTGTGTGGCTGTGGCTGTGGGTGTGGGTGCACCTTGGCGGAGCCTTGCCAGTGGACGACGACGACTTACACTATCGTTGGCTGTCGCCGAGCCCGTGACTGTCACCGTGACCGTGGCTGTGGAGACGGAGACGGAGGAGGACGACGACGACGAACCGGTGGCGGAAACGGAAACGGAAACCGTGGCTGTCGTGGCTGATGTGACGGATGTCGATGTGGTTGTAGCTAATGCTGCTGTTGTGGCAGCCGCTGCTGCAGTGGTTGAGTGTGTCTTGGAGTCGTTTACCTGGGAGTTGAACGCCACCAGGACGGGCTGCACCGCTGACGGCAGCGGGGCCACGACACAGTTCATGGGTGCCGTGGTGCGGTAGGCGGCCCGGGTCAGGGAGCTGCTGTGGCCCGCCGATAAACGAATATTGTCCAGGTCGCCGCTGTAGCGATGCTGCTGCAGATTTCCACTGCTGCCGATGGACGAGGTCTGCGCTATGTGGCTGCCGCCCCGTGGCATGGCGCCTCTGCCTCCTCCGGCGTGGGATGCGGCGTAGCCAGCTGTCGTCTCCTTGGCCGACTGCTGGCCCTGGCGCTGCTGCTTCTGGCAGCTCAGATTGTTGAACTTCTCAATCGAGGCTTTAATGCTAACCGAATCGATGCCATAGCGACGTGCATTGCTGGACAGCACGGACGCCGCGTGGCCACCACCTGCCTCTGTTCTTTTTCCTGCTCCAGCTCCTGCTCCAGCTCCCGAAGGCGTTCCGTTGACTAGCTTGGGGTTCGGGTTGTTGAACTTCTCCAAGCTGGCGGCAAAGTTTGAGTGGGATGTGATTATCGTGGACCTGGGACGGTTGTGGTAGCCAACGTTTCTGAACATGGGATCGCTTGGATTGGCTGCAGTTGCAGCTGCTGCTGCTGCTGCTGCTGCTCCACCACCTCCAACTGCTACTTTAGCTGCCGCTGCTGCTGCTGATGTGGAGGGAGGAGGCGTATCGTCGCTGTCTATGTAGCTGATGTCATCCTCTTGCAGATGTTGCTGCAACTGTGGCTGCGCCTCCTGCTTATGCTGCTGCTGCTGCTGTTGCTGCTGCTTCAGCTTCTGTCCACGTTGCATGTTGTTGTTGGTGGTGCCGTTGGTGGTGCTGCTGCTGTGGTTGCTGTTGCTGTTGTTGTTATTATTGTGTCCGTTCATGATCGTGTGGCTGGCGTAGCCGTGGATGTTGTGGTTGTTGTTGCTGGTGTTATTGTTGTTGTTATTGGAGCTGCTGCCAAAGGTCAGTGGCTTCAGCTTGCCAAAGGTCTTGCCCGTCCCCAAGACAGTGGTTGCCTGCAAGGCCAGGGCCGCCTTCTGTCCCACCGTTAGCTGTTGCTCCTGGGTGCCAGAGGCCCTGATGCCGTGGCTGCCGTGCTTGTGTCCCCCGTTAGTGGTGCTTCTGCTGTAGCTCGACGTCGTCGTCGTCGCTGCTGCTGCTGCTGCTCCTGCTGGTGCCGCCTGTTGATTGCCATTGAGCATGGGCGGACGTGGCATGTCACTCAATGCTCCTTCCACATGGCCTTGTGCCTTGTGGCCGTTGTGGCCGTTGTGACTGTTGTGGCTGCTGCTGCTGTGATGGTTATTATTGTTCTTGTTATCCTCACCCACCCTACAGCGCTGCTTGCTGTGGTTTGCTTTCGACTTGCCCGAACCCGTTCCCGTACCCGCACCCGTCACCTGGGCATGGGCCAGCGCGCACTCGTCCTTGAGGAATGTGGGATCCTTGAAGCTGGGCACGAGGAAGTAGCGCTGATTGGCCGTCCGCACTGGATTCCCACCCGCTGTTCCCGTTGTCACTGAGCGGCCACCTCCTGCTCCTGTTCCAGCTCCTCCTGCCACTCCTGCAGCTGCTGCTGCTGCTGATGAGCCGTGTTTGCCTTGGCCCCTGCCCACTCCCGCTGGGGCACCACCTGCAACGGCTGGAATGCCCGCTGCCGTGGAATACTTGGATCTACCCTCCCTGCCCCGCGCCGTGCTGTGATTGATGCCACGCTTTGAGCCGCCTGCTCCTTTGCCGGATGCCACCGATATGGTAGAACTGGCGGCTGTTGCGGCTGCTGCTGTCTTTCCGGCTGCTCCCGGATGGGATGCGGCTACTGTGGATGCACCTGCCGCCGCTGCTGTTGCTGTTGCTGGTGGTGCTGCTGCTGCGGATGGGGCTGCTAATGCTACTACTGCTGCTGCTGGCTCACCTCCGCGTTGCAGTCTGGATGCTGGAGTCTTGTGGAAACCTCTGTTCTTCTTAACGTCTAACATCATTCAACATCGGCTGACAGTAGTCTGCATAATCTGGACTCTCCCTTCACTTCACTTCACTGCCAGATCCTTGTCCAATCTGCCTGGACCGGTGTGCTTAGCTGGTTTCGATTATTATTTTATGTTTTACCAGTAGTATATTATTGTTTGTTTGAGCGCTGAGTTTTAACTGATGTGAGTTCTGGCCGAAATGGGTCTCAACTCGGTTGACTATCAAAATCACGACCTACTCTGTTTGCACAGCACCGCAAAAAAAAACAAACCTAAAGCCGCCTCTGTAGACCCTGTAGCCCCCCTGTAGACCTGAAACCGAGAGGCTGTCTCTTATCTGTTCTAGCCAATAGGGGGTGCCACTCCTACTCCTAGTCCTACTTCTAGTCCTACGCTAAGTCCTACTCCTAGTCGTTTTATATATCTCTAGCGATTTATGGGCAAGGGTGGGGGACTGGGCGTAGGTGGTGGTGGTGGTGTTTAGTGGGGGGATTTAGTCAGCGTTTTTGAGGTTAGTTATTGTTGTGTAGTATTCGTTATTCGGTATTCGGTAGTTTGATTAGTTGAGTTTAGTTGAGTTGGGAGTTGCTTTTGGTTTTGCTTTGGTTTTGCTTTTGGTTTTGCTTTGCTTTGCTTTGGTTAAGTGAGTTAGAAGGGGCGCAATCTGCAAGAGTTTAGCTAAAAATACATAGAAATGTAAATTGGATTAAATGGCGGCGGCCTAGAGGCACAACAAATACAGAGAGAGAGAGCACATAGAGAGTAGAGAGAGAGAGAGAGATCAATCACATTTTCAATTCAAACTCAATCAAATGTAAATGTAAATGCAAATGCAAATGAAATGAAATGATACCAAAAGAAAATAACGCATGTCTGTATCTGTATCAGTATCAGTATCGGTGCAAGCAATGGATGGGGCGGCGATTGATTGGCTGGAGCTGGGGCTGGAGCTGGGGCTGGAGCTGGAGGAGTGATCGCAATGTGGCGCTGGATTGGCTGGGGATTGTTGCAAGTGTTTGTGGCACCTGAACAAAGCAGAGCCTGCGGCATTTACACACACACACACACACAGGCGCAGACACACAGAATTTGGCAATTCAAATTCAGGGTTAGAGGTTATTCGCTTGATCAGGTGAAGGTCAAGGTCAGGTGAGGTGAGGTGAGGTGAGGTCTGGTCTGGTCAGGGTATATCGGGTTGGCAGGCCATGCGATTAGTCGGGCGCTCTCTGGGCACAGTATTTTTGGCAGCGCTGCCTGTCGCTGCTGCGTCGCACATATCGATATTTTACCTTGCTGCCGCCTTCCGTTAGCTTGAATGTAGCCGTCGCGCTCACATCGCTATTGTCCGCCTCCGCCTCCGCCTCCTCCACCTCCACCTCCACTCCCGCATCATCTGTGGTGTCAAGAGTCGCTCGCACGCTGCTCCCACTGCGACTCTCGTAGATGGCGTTCCGCTTCGGCGATGCCGACAGCAAGGACAGCCCATTCAGCTTGGCGTCCAGTCCGTTGCTGTCCGCCCCATGACCATTGATTGCTTTTGATGCCGGCGGAGGAGGTGGCGGTGGCGGTGGCGGCGTCGGCGTCGGAGTATGGGATGCTGCTGCGGCTGCTGCTGTATCCCCCGCTGACGATGCATCCGCAATGCTGCGCCGCGTTCTGTTGCTTCTGAGTGTGAAGGTGGCCGTGGGCACATCCCCGCTGCTGTTGCTGCTGCTCAACGTGAACCGGCCGGACCCGCTGCGCTGTGCCAGCCGCGTGGCGGATGTTGTGCTCGTGCTTGTCCCTGTGCTGGTGGCTGGCGTGGTGTCGCCGGCGTCGCTGCTGCTGCTGTAGAGCCGGCTGTAGCGGCTGGTCCGCGGACGGTCCAGTGTCACCGTGCAGGTGGTCGTGTCATTGCCATTGCCATTGCCATTCCCGTTGCCGTTGCCGTCCACATCGCCCAACGGCGTCTCACTGAGCCCCGATCTAGAACGTGACGACGGTTCACATTTGGGTTTATAGTTGGCCGGACTGTACTTTTCGTACATGTCCAGCCCCGATGTGGCCACTAAACGTGCTAGGGATGGTGATGAGGATGAGCTGGAGAGGCGTTTCGAATGCCCGTTGCTAAGGGCGCTCTCGTTGTTGTAGCTGCTGCTGCTGCTGCTGCCACCGCCGCTTGTCGGCGGCTTCTTGGCGGTCTCACGCCGCAGTCCATAATCGTTCTTCTTCAATCCGCTCTCGCCATTAGTGGCGGATCCGGATACGGATACGGATACGGATCCTTTTGTTGTCTTGCGCGGCAACTTTGATTTTAATTCCAATTTTGTTTGTTTTTGGTTTTTGGTTTTTGGTTGTGGTTGGCGAAACATTTACAAGTGTGTGTCGATCGATTTGCAATGAGCGAGATGGCAACAATCGATGGTGGATTTTTGGTTTTTGGTTTTTTGGTTTTTTTGGGAACGTAGCAGGTAGCAGTAACGGTAACGGTAACGGTAACGAGATAACGTTAACGGTAACGGTAACGGTGAACAAGTGTGTTCATGTTTCATGTTCATGTTTCATGGTGTCGCAACATAAACCAATGTCAAAAGTAACAGAAAACAAAATAAAAGATACATCAATGATGAGTTTTATGGCGCATTTTTACAGAATGAAGACACTCAAAAATAACACTCGAAAACGTAAGTAAATTACACAAAAAATAAAACTAAAAAGGGAAATGAACCAAATTAAAGACACATAATTATGCTATATAGTCGCTGGGATACGACTATGCGATACCCAATATATCCCACACACACAGGAGGCACCAAAGGAGCTTGGCCAAAACGCCAATAACGATGATTCGCGACTGAACCGTGAAACAAAGTGGTGCCAAAAAATTACAGGGGTATGCCGCACCCACCACTCACGCTTATCTTCAAATTTTAATGGTAGATAAATAAACATACATATGTATATATGTACATACATGTGTACATATGTGCATTTGTTCATAGGTCGATGTATGTTTGCTTTTATGACAAATCTAAACTTAAAAACTTTCTAAACGGGGCAGCAGCTAATTTGCAGCATTTACATACATATGTACATATATTTACATATGTATGTATGTATGTATGTTTTTCTTTTGATTAAAGTGCATCTTCTGGACAAATCATCATACCACTCCTGTGCTTCGTACAATTTCCCCCAAAATGGCTCAAAAGTCGAATTGATCAAAAAGAAAATAAACTAATCGATTTTTACATTCAAATCCTAATCTATCTTTGAGCTTAAAAATGTACATATTTACATACATATGTATTTATGTACATATCAATTCAACTTTCGCGAAAATGTTGCAAAGGTAAAATTTCAAAAGCTGCTTCGTGTTGACACTTACACTTGCACTCAGGCAGCGTGACATACACACGCATTGACAGACGGACAAACAACCGACATACATATGTACATATGTATGCATGTACAATGTACAATGTATACATTTATGTATACGCTGCATGTGTATGCATGCATATGACGACAATGCTATTCAATTAACCTTATTGCGAATTTCATTTACAGCAAGTTTAAGGGGATGACACAGTTGTTTCTGTTTCCCTTGCTCTCGTTGGGTGTTGGATCGGTGCCAACAAGTGGTTCGCGCTGGTCGGGCTCGGTTCGGCTCCACTCGCACTCGAGCACACACACACACACACACACGGACACACACGCAAGCACACACAACGCATTCCATTTGCCTCTACTCTGCCTCAAGGTATACTAACTATAAGGTAAGGCCTCATCTGGCGCTCAATGTAGCATACTTTTTTGCCAGCCTCTCTTTCTGTCACAGATAATTACTACAAACATACATATGTACCTTACCTTCTATTAGCATACCTTGTATGGGTTTCTATATACGTGTATAAAATGCTGCATTGTCGTTTGTGTGTGTGGGCGTGTTGTGAAATGGCATGGCTTGGCTGGGTGGCTGGTTGGGTGGCTGGCTGGCTGGCTGGCCGGCTGGGTGGGTGGGTGGTCGGTATAGGTGGGCGTTTGATTCGTGGGCTGTGATGAGTTGGTGATTCGTTGTTGCAATGCAATGACAAAATACACATCACAAACAACATAAAAACGACAATCAGCAAAAGAAAAACGTCCAAAATGAAACTTCTAAATGCCGCCGGAACTGTGAAAGGGCTATACACTAAAGGGGTCTAAAGGGGAAGAGCATCGTCACCACAAAACTAGGGTGTGGTTGTACATACATATAAATATATGAGCCATGGGCGTGTGGAGTTGTGTGTCAGTGTGAGTGAGATTAAAGTCCGGAACTAAGGTGAGGCATTCTGAGGTGATCTAAGGGATCTTTATGAGAGCGCTATATGGCAATGCCTCACCCTGTATCAATACACCATGGTCTGGGGTCTGGATGACGCTCTGAGGTAGGCAATGCCAATAACCGAAAGCAGGCTACATATGTACAGTCATGTGATTAATAATAAGGACACGGCCATGCTTCAGAAAATGCCTATAAAATGACTATTTTTGGAATGCGGTGATCTTAATTTTATTAGTAGATTATTGCACTCCATAAACAGAAAGTAAAAACCCAAGTATAATGGTGAAAAAAATAATAAAAAATTTGGGACGTCATCGACTTGCTGTGCGAAATAATAGGACCCGAAACAAACTGTTATATTCGTAAAAACGCATGTTCTAAGGGTGTTTGGTCTTAAACTATGATTGTAATTAGTGAATTTAGATATAAAAACATCCATAAAACAAAGTTTAGATATTTGGGATAAGAAGGAACGTGCTAGATGTACCAGATACCGTGGACATGAAAAAGTCCACAAAAATGGATTTCGTACCGGAATATTTGCCAAACTTGACGCAAGAAAGTAATGATAATGCAATAAAACATACTATTAAAGAGGAAACCAAAAGAAATCACAAATATTCCAACTGGAGAAAATGTGATGAACGGCAGCCCATTTAAAAACAAATTAAAAAAAAAAATCATGGAGGCAAACCCCAAATATGAATAATACTTGAAGCACATCAAAGCCAAGAGCCCCAAAAAGTTCCGTGTCTATTGAATATCGATATACCAAAGATGATGATGGTCGCTGCGGACCATGAACCATGGGCCTGTGAACTAATAACGCAGCATTCTCTGGTCGAATAAGACAAAATGTAATGTTTTCTACTTTGATTGATAGCTCAGCATGTGCGAAGACCAATAAACACAAATTTGAAGAACTTACAACTATTTAACATAAATTATGGTATGGGGGTGCCATGGTTCATGGTCCGCAGCGACCATCATCATCTTTGGTATATCGATATTCAATAGACACGGAACTTTTTGGGGTCTCTTGGACTTTAGATTGTTAGCTTTAAGTATTATTCATATTTTAGAAGGGTTTGCCTCCATAGAATATTTTTTTTTTAATTATAAGAATTTTTAAATGGGTCTTGCCTCACGAATCCATCACATTTTCTCCAGATTGGAATATTTGTGATTTCTTTTCCCGTGTTTCCTCTTAATAGTATGTTTTATTGCATTATCATTACTTTCCTTGGAAAACGTCAATGTTTCAGCAAATATTCCGGTACGAAAATCCATTTTTGTGGACTTTTTCATGTCCATGGGTATCTGAGTACATCTAAGCACGTTCCTTCTTATCCCAAATATCTAAACATTGTTTTATGGATGTTTTTATATCTTAAATTACAAAAACTAATTACAATCAATAGTTAAAGACCAAACACTTCTTAGAAACATGCTGTTTTTACGAAATATAACATGTTTTGTTTCGGTGTCCCTATTATTTCGCACAGCCAAAAGTCGATGACGTACCGAACAAATTTTTTATTATTTTTTTCACCATTATACTTGGGTTTTTTACTTTCTGTTTATGGAGTGCAAACATAAATCTACTAATAAAAATTAAGATCACCGCAAAATTCCAGAAAATATTCATTTTATAGAGCATTTTCTGAAGCATGGCCAAGTGTCCTTATTATTAATCACATGGCTGTATATACCTATGTATATGTATATACTATATTTGAAGCTATATTTATACATATGGTATATATGTACATACATACATACATATGTGCATACCCATGAAACAGCAACAGAAATGAGATGGACAATGGAACGCGCTTCTGCCATGAAAGCGATCGAAATAATGGTAAAGTTTTCGGAACTTAAACTTAGATCTTAATCTTTTTTTAAGCCTGAGTTGAAAGATGTTTCCCATCTGTTTCTATTAAAATATTCTCTGAATTAAGCAAATTTGTCTAATTAAATGTTTTTTGAAAGATATACTAGCTGCCATAGCTATGAGGTATTGATGGCAAATATCAGACACACTTGCAGCAGATTAAATAACACAACGATCAACAAAAGCTGAGCTTATCGTATCCAAGGTGAACTTTCAACTTGGAGTTTCTTTTGACTATAGTGAGCAGGCGCCTGCAAGGGGAGGCACTACTGTGTACTGTAGAGCTCAGTCTTGAGCGTCTGTACTGTAAAACTAAACACTAAACTGTAGATCGAATGGCGGCAAGTCTTGGTGACCTGCGGTGACTTCATGGGCACATGAATTCGTGTGGATAAATCAAATGGACATCATGAGGTACTTGTGAAGGGGATACAAATGAATGGAGTGCGACGGGAACAGTTGTGGTGTGAGTAGATTTATGCCCAGCATACAAATATTTGACTATATCTAGGGGGGAACCGATAGATCAGCCACCAATAGAACATTTAACTGAAGAAGTAACCGATCACAATTCAATGATCCGTTCGGGGATGGTTGGAGAGGGGCGTGGAGGGATCAAATCCATATATTTAGCTTATCCTATGAGTCAACTCACGCCATATCTGCCGTAAGAAGATGAATCGCTCAAATACGCTGAACTGGTGCGATAGGTGGACGGGCCCGCGGCTGAACCTCCGCTTAGATACGACGACGATGTGGATCCAACACTGTTCCGGTGCAGGGTGGAACGTGGTGCATAGGACGAGGCCAAATACGAGCTGGGATAGTAGCTGCTGGCGCTGCTGTAGCTCGTGGACGAGACTGAGCTGCCGGACGTAGGCAGAAACTTTGAGAGACTGCTGCTGCGATCGTAGTAGGCGTTGCAGCGCGAATAACCGTTGGTGGTGGCCCCACCCGAAGCGCTGCCTGTCGCACCGGAGCCGGAGCTGCTGGTGCCGGCGCCGTTGCCGCCGCTGGTCGACGACGATGTGCCGTAAAGACTGCCACTGCCCGCCGCTGACGTTGATGATCCACGCGGCGCGATGACACGCATATTAGCAGCAGCAGCAGCAGTAGCGGTGATCCGATCTAATCGCGATTGGACTGGGCTCCTCAGACTGTGCGTGCCGTCGTTGCCTGCCTGCTGTTTGGGCGGTGGCTGATTTAATGTTTGGTGGTTCCACGCGTTTTACTGTCGCTGAAAGAAAAGAGCAACGTCAATAAGCAACTGATCAATCCGGAACAAAGGGAGTGGGAGTAGTCCCTCCCCTACTAACCTTGTGTATTCACTTTTACCGACTATTTGTAATTCGTTTGCATTCGATTCCTTTATATCTGTCCAATCGACTTGAATGCTAATTAAGCGCTACATCTGGGGATACGGATTGCTGTGACCGGTGAAGTTGAAGAGGCGTCTGTGGACGAGGATGAAGAAATAGGAAAATGAAAAACAGTCGAGCCGTGTGGTACCGCTACATCTCTCTCTCCCATCCAACTAACAAAGCAGCCGTTATATCTCCCTCACACCGTCAGAGGGAAGAGAGCGCGTCGCCCCACTAGACGAGGAAAAGAGAGATCGAGCAAAAGGCGGAAGAATCAGCGACGAGAAATAGTTTCCTTTATTCTGGATTTACTAATAAACCTATTTATGATACTTCTAGTCAGTATGCTGACTGGTCTTTCGCATTTACAATATGTGTGAAAAGATAAGGCTATGCAAGCTGTACTTGTTCGGTTCACTTGAACGACTGAAGAATACGCAGATTATATCTCTGCATGAAAATTGATTTTTCCGCAATTAAGTTCATTATATTAATTAAATATTAATTAGCTGTTGTGGAAAATGTCGCGAAAATTGCATGTATTTGCAACACCTGTGCTTTTTTGGCCTTGCGGTACACGGGCAAAAAAAAAAAACAGTTACTAAACGATACACATTCACAATCACCCACACACATACCGATCATCAGCTGCGGCACTTGTTTGCCGCAACAACAAACAGTACCGTTCCGATCAGTCACTGAGTTCGAGGGGGGTGGCCTTATTCGGTAACACTAAAATGAAGTTATTTGTACGTGCAGGAGTGTGTGTGTGTGTGTGAGCGTGTGTTTGTAGCGCCGCCAGGCTGTCTACAGTGCACGATGTCATTGTAGCCGAGGAAACCGTTCCCGTTTCCCCACAAATTGCTATGGGGTAGGGGTAGGGGTAGAACTTAACTATTATAAAATGGACTGCCGCGACACATGGCCACACTATCAAATCGATCTTTCGTTCATAAAATACTACACAACTACAACCCATTCACACACTCACACTCACACACACCCAGGCGCACCGTTTCCATTGGATACACATACAAATGCACGCGCACGCACTGCAATGCCTTTTCGAACAGAAAATAAATGAAATTCTTCAAGTTCACACACACAAACACACATTCTTACGCACATTACGGTCTAAAGTTTTTTGCCAAGCGTTTACCACGTTTTAATTATTCACCAATTTGCGATTTTTGCTTCTTTTCGATTAAATATACACTTTCAATGCTTTACAAATCGTCAAAAATCGAAATATTTATAATAAAACAACAACAAAATATAAAACGAAACGAAATAAATCTATTTATAAAAGCGCTTAAAAGCACATACACACACACACGCATGAAATTATTGTGTGTTGGGGCTGTCGGTTTGACAGTGAAATGAGTAGAGTGAGCGGGTCTGGGGAGCGGGGAATAAGGGACGGCAGTAGTAAAAACGCCGCCGAGCGTATACGAGCGAGTAGGATAGCACTATTGGCGACACAGTCACACACACACAACCGAGCGGGAGCTCTCGCGCAAACACACAAACGTTCACTCACATAGGCAAACAGGCAACGTACGAATTACGCAAAGTCAAATATCTTTCTCAAAATGGAAAGTGGAAAAGTGACGATTGCTGTTGTGAATTTTTCTACCGCCTCCTGATCCCCGCACAAAACCAGAGCGCGGACACGACTAAAATAGGAGCGGGAGCAAAATAAAATTACAACGCAGAGCAAATATCACGAGCAAACGAGGTCGCGAGGATGAAAAAAAAACAACATGAAATATTTGTCTGTGTTTTACACTATAAAAGCTTTGCGAGCAGGTCAATTTACACGGCAATAACTATGTGTATATATATTTACTTAAAATCTGTGATTTTCAGCACAGCCACAGAACCCGCATTATTATAAGGTAGGGATGTTAAAAATATATTGATATAACAATATATCGATATATACAATTTTGTTGACAATATATTTGTGGGAGATATTTTGATGGCTTTTTTGTATCGCTGATCTTTTGCTTCCAGAATTGCGGATACGTCGGGCTATTAGGTTTCTGTCCAAATTTAGTGATATTATATAAATGCTATTTTTCATATGCCCGCGGCATTTGATTCTACTTTTTGATGCACTGCACAGGCTATTTCCAAAAAGAAATATCGGTATCTTTGCGCGATAAATTACATTTCAATTCGGCGGTTACATACCTATGTTTTAAAAATAATATAAGAGCTGATATTGTGACTTTTGTTTCGAAATAACAATCCACATCTATGGTTAAAAAGAGGTCTGAGAATGTATACATATTAAATGAAATTAAATATTTTGTTTATTTCTTTTAACTATGTTTATATTTATTTTTGTGCCTTGAACTCCCAACTTCTAGGGGCAGTGAAATTATCTTTGCACTCTTTGCTAGTTGAAAACTTTAGCCAATTCTCGCCATGAGGACATGAAATGTGGTCCGCTTAGGCAAAATAATTAAATGAACAAAACATTTCTACATGTAGTATTTTTGTTCAATATTTTGTCAGGCTATCGATACGAAGAAGTAGCAAGGTGTGTGACCCAGAAAGGGAACGCAATCAAACGAATTAAAATAACGACTTTCGTTCGCTGAGCAAAAATTATCACCCCTCCACATTACAGTACAATTAGATTTTATTATATATTTGTTTGGCCAGTGGAGCCGTCCGGCGAGAACATGCAAAAATAAACGTTCATCGGCAAAATACCATCTCCAGCTAGCTGTTATAATCATCGCACTTGTCGCCCATCAAAGTATCGATAGACCTGTACATCTCTAGTATATACATTTTGAGTGAAAATTTCTTCTCTGGTCTGTGAAAATTTCTTAATACATTTTCGCATGCATTTAATTTGTAGTTGTGCCCAAACGATTTGTTAGTGTAAAGCAATGTCACCGCACCGCTGATGCCACTAGTGTCAGGTAGTGCCTGTCGCGGTGCCCCGCACCTTTCATTCTATAAACAAATCGAAATCGCAGGCCGCAAATTGTCGCGTCGCATTACATTCAGTGTTGCCAACTCTGTGAATAGCTAGTAGCTGAACATTTTCCGCAAATTGCGAAAAGTTGGCTACACTGGAGTGGGGGCTTGGGATGCCTGCTCATAAAATACGCAAAACACTAATATTAAATTATCTTTTATAGCTACCCGTCTTGGCCTGCTGCAAATTGAACGCATCAGCTTGTTGGACACTCAATCACCCAAATTCTAGACGGATAAAGGCTGAACTGGCAACACTGCAGTCGCCAGAGCCGCCGCCGACACAATACTCGGGCAAAATGAAGTGAGAAAAGTCTACTTTAAACATAAACTACAGCAGAGAACTCTTCAAATTCACTTAATATAATATTAATTGCTGTCTTTGTTCCATGTTTCTGGCAGTAAACCAAAGTGCACGTTGGCTTTTTGTTAATTTTTCGCAATTTTTGATTCGTGTCGTCATCTTGCCATCGTCATCGTCATTGCCATTGTCAACTGTCGCCCACCACCCGCTCAGACCCTCCCACCATCTTCGACAGTCTTGTGGGGGACACATTTCGGCAGAGCCTTGTTCCCAGCGCAGCATTGATTGAGCCCGCCCCACACCTCAGCATCTCTCAGTCGTTATCATATTCCAATATACTGTTCAGGTAAGTGAAGCGTTTCCCCTTTGGGGAACTCAAAATCAGGCCAAAAACAGATCTGTTCATGAACCCATTTACGGCTCTTTTTCCAGTTATGTCATCGACAGCCGGTAAACGCAAGGAGATCTACAAATATCTCGCACCATGGCCGCTCTACTCCATGAACTGGAGCGTGCGGCCGGACAAGCGATTCCGCCTTGCCCTGGGCAGCTTCATTGAGGAATACAACAATAAAGTGCAAATCATCAGCTTGGACGAGGACACCAGCGAATTTAGTGCTAAAAGGTTGGCTTGACTTGGCTTTGGCTGCTCTCCGCTAAACTACGTATTAATAATCTTGTTAACTCTAGCACCTTTGACCATCCATATCCGACGACAAAAATCATGTGGATACCGGACTCGAAAGGCGTTTATCCCGATTTGCTAGCCACCAGCGGTGACTATCTGCGCGTTTGGCGTGCTGGCGAGCCGGACACAAGACTCGAGTGCGTTCTGAACAACAACAAGAACAGCGACTTTTGTGCTCCGCTCACTTCGTTCGACTGGAACGAGGTGGATCCAAATCTGGTGGGCACCTCCTCCATAGACACAACATGCACCATCTGGGGACTCGAGACGGGACAACCGCACGCCCGCGTCTATGTGGCGGGACATGTTAAGACACAGCTGATAGCCCACGACAAGGAGGTCTATGACATCGCATTCTCACGTGCCGGCGGTGGACGGGACATGTTCGCCTCCGTGGGTGCCGACGGATCGGTGCGCATGTTCGATCTGAGGCATCTGGAGCATTCGACCATTATTTATGAGGTACGTGGACCTGAGTGTGACACCCGCAATGAATCACATTAACGGCATGCCCTTGCTTGTCTCCTGCAGGATCCTGCCCACACGGCGCTACTGCGTCTGGCTTGGAACAAACAGGATCCGAATTACTTAGCCACAGTTGCTATGGACTCGTGCGAAGTTATTATTTTAGATGTTCGTGTTCCTTGTACACCCGTTGCAAGACTGAGCAATCACAGAGCGTGCGTCAACGGTATTGCGTGGGCGCCGCATAGGTAAACTCTCGCCCTTACACTATCTGGATTGGCTGATCTGATCCTGCATTCACCTTCGCTTGTGCTTCCCACTAATTTGTGTGTTGTTTGCTTTCAGTTCCTGTCACATCTGCACTGCCGGTGATGATCACCAAGCACTGATCTGGGATATACAACAAATGCCACGCGCAATCGAGGATCCAATTTTAGCCTATACAGCTGCCGAGGGCGAAGTCAATCAGATTCAATGGGGCGCCACACAGCCCGATTGGATAGCCATATGCTACAACAAAGCGTGCGAGATCCTCCGAGTCTAAGAGTCAATTTTGTCCCTGCCTGCCTCCTGCCTTTGGCTGTGGCTCTAAAGCACTTGGATGTAATTGCTAAACAACGCACAGTCAACCACATCAACCACACATCCACAAAAGAACACCCAAACACATATACACACACACACACACACACACACTTGCTGTTGGTATTTCGGATGCAGCTGAAGTGAAGGCTATGTTAGAGTGGATTTATGTTGAATCGGTTCCTCCGTATGATCCCATCCGCCACTTGTTTAATTCAAAGTTTTTGTCTGTCGTTTGCCTTGTTCCAAACATGGCAGCCCATGTAAAAGAAAGAGATAGATAGATAGAGACAGAGCGAGACAACCAGGAGGATGGAAAAGAAGGATAGATAGGGAGCGTCGCGCTCTGATTGGATGATTGGATGATGTATGTATTTTTAGATATCTTAGCTTAGTTGATTGTACGAGTATATAAGTCGGGAATCTATAAGGTATAACCAAAAGATGTATTTCTAATTGTAGTTTATTTTGACCCTTGACGAGAAAAGCCCCAGATTCATTTTGCCACTGCCCGCAACCCAGAACAAATCGAATTGAAGCGCCTAATCAAGAAAAGTCAAGAGAAAGAGAAGAGTAAACGAAACGAACCAACATTTATTTAAATGAAAGAAGAAAAAGAAAAAAACAATGTCCTACCTCGTTTTCCCCAAAAAAAAAAAAACAAAATGTGGTTACCGTTAATGTGTCTGGCCACAGCACACACACACACACTACACATACACACTTACACAACCAAAACACACAAATACACATTAAAGATAAAAAGAGAGGATAAAAAAGCTTTTTCGATATATTTTTACTTTGTTCCTTTTTTTTTGTTTGTACGAATTCTATGAGAACCAAAAACCCGGAAAACAAAGAAAGAAAAGCAAGCAGCAGCAGCAAAAGCAAAAACCATGGACTTAAGCAAATGCAAAACAAAATAAAAGATGAGAAAACAAATAAATTAAATAAGCGAAAAGATACTTACATATATTAGCGAATAAAACAGAAAACCGAAATCAGAAATCAGAAAACCAACTGCACACGACACACAGCTAGAATACAATACTATCTAAAATACAAACTAAAGCAAACGCAAATACAAAAAAAAAATTAAAACGAAAAAAAAACCGAAATATATGAGCGAGAGAGAATACAAGATTGTTGCTATATCCATTTACCAAGCGAAAGAAACAAAAAAAAAAACAAACAAACAAAATACAAAAGAAACACAAAGAGAAAGAGAATCCAAACTACAAGCGAAATATGATAATTTCAAGAGTAAAGCGTTAAGACAGACTTTTCAAACAGCCCTCGCCATCGTCCTATCACACAGACACACACATAAACACAACCGCACCGCACACTACTGCCCCCCCGCAACGAGAGAGCTGCAAAAGTGAATATTACCGATAAACGTAATAAGCTTTCGCAGCGTGAACGAACAAGCAAGCGGGAAAGGAGCGCGCCGCCTGCTATTACTGCTGCTGGGTAACTGCAACTGTAACTGTAAGAATCTCTCGCCTCGCTGCCTCAGCAGTCTGCAGAGCGGAGAACAGCACTGAGAGAGGGACTGAACGCCGTTGCGCAGCATTTGGGGGGCCTCCATTTAGCACTCGAACCCCAACCCCAACCGATCCCCACAGATAATCCTCCACGACTCAGTGTACTTCTCCAAACAAGAATCGAATGACTTTTTTTATGCAACTTGTAATTTATAGCGATTTCACAACTTATATATGTATACATAGATATATATACATATATAAATATACATATATGTATATGCGGAAGGCGTGTTAGATATACCGATACCGTGTAATCCGATGATCATGTATTGTAAATACAATATGGAACCACTCTTTTTAAAAAAAAAAAAAAACAAAAAAATTCCAACCAACAATCAGAGCCAGTTAAAAAATAAGAACACACTTTTGAACAAGACTTAGCGCATGATTTTTTATAGACATGTAAGAGGCCTAAAACCCTGAATCAACCAAACCAAATAAAAAACAAAAGTACTCCCCCCGCTCTTCACAATAAAACAAAAATCAGCATACAAAAAACAAAAAACAAAAAAAACAAGAGAGAAACTGTAATCGAATTGAATCGTTTTTGATACTTTGTACGAAACATCTTCATTGATTTTGCGAAATGGTTTCCAAGAAAAACAAACAAATTAACAAAACAATATGCATGTAGAAAGCCCAGATCAGAAGGATATACCTTATACAAACATACGATATATACATACATGCATACATACAGACATGTACTTCTTTCTCTGCGTTTGTTATTGTATCTACTTATTTCATTATGTACTATCAAATTAAGTTATGGACATGATACAAAATTTATATAGATGCATACACACACCAACACCCACACCCACACATAACATCGTATATATATACATACATATATAGACATCTGTACCAGGCTGGTAGTTAAACCAAGCGCACTAGGAGAAGTAGGATGGTGGGACGCTGATTGATTGATTGATTCATTCATGAGATGAGACGAAACAAATCGAGACGGTATGAGAAAGAAAAGGTATGATGTATGATGTCGCACATCAGAAGTGGGCGAAACAAAATAAAAGAAACAAACCAAACAGACAAATATTTAAATAAACCATTTTTAAATAACGAATTTGCGTCTTAATCAAATCCGACTGATCGGCAGAGTGCGGCTGAGCGACTTTTGCTTCGGTTCTGGGGCCTGGGGGAAGCCAAAGAGATTCGGTCAGAGCTTGATGAGACATCAGAGTGGATGCCACCAAATGCCCCTTGACCGGACTCGGAGTCGTATGCCTCCCTGAATCTTTCGTGGCATTCTTTTGGAAACGCTGCACCATCTGTAGTGGCATCACCTCCGGCGAAAGGATTCCATCTTCTAGGAGAAAGCAATCCAAGGACTATCCCACTAGTGGTCCTCTAGCTGTAGCGAACAGGGAGCTGCTTCGTCCGCTGGGAGCTGAGAGATGGTCAGCTGCACGAATGCAGTTGCTTGAGAGACCCACCTTGAAGAGTGACTCGAGGTTCGGCTGGTTCACGGAAACATTGTAGTTATACAGTCGCTTGTTCCGGTTCTCCAGGCGTTTAATGGAGGAACCGGAGGTCCTTACAGCGATATCTCATTTCTGCCGCTCACTGCAAGCACCGCATGCGCTCAATCCTATCCGGGACAGATCAGGAAGGGTTTCTGCTCTCCCATAAGCTGTTTATATCTGGCCTCACTGCCTTAACCTGAATTGCGCGCCACTTTCGATATGCGACACAGCACAAAAACTCTACCGCGGCCAATGGGGGGCAAATCCGCGATTTGCATGCGATTGAACTTATCGTTTGATGTATGCACACACGTGACTACATATCATATCGATTACTGTCTTGTAAATAGCCCACAACCAGGAGCGGCACCGCTGCGGCTCCAGGTGCACGATCACAAAGTTTGGAGCGGAAAATGTCTGCGAATAGAAATGTTTTAACAAATATTTAAATTATCAACGGATTCCATTCGGTTGTATTTGGTATTCACTTCGTTCGGTCAATTGGAAACGGCGTCTCAGCTTTCTCGTTCCATCAAAATGTTCTCCCAAAACGGACTGAAGCAGGTATCAGATCCGCAAATTTCGGTTTTTTTCCCGCTCACTCTCCAAATTATTTTCCAATTGAATTTAACTGAAAAGTAAGCTTATTCTTAATCTAAATAGTTTGGTCGCACATATGTAAATTCCTGATCAATGAAATCTTGTTTTTAAGCGTAAGGTAAATTATATTTTCCTGCACAGAACACCGTGATAGGAAGAATTTGTTATTCAGTGATTCTCAGCATTACATTTAGATGCAAAAGTATTCATTTTAATTTACCAAATAATATACCTGGCTGCCATAGCAGCGATCGGTCCCCAAAACCGCTTTAATGATAATCCAATAACATCCCTATGCATGTTTGGGTATATGTATATGTATGTACATATTTTGTGTCTAAAATCTAAATTATGCCTATTCAGTGGTCTGAACCTGATCGTGCGCTCGTGCGCGTGCTGAGCTGAGCGAGCCCCTTGAGCCGTTCGAGTCCGCACCTGGCCGAGCGAGAGAAATCTAATCAGCTGAATTAGAATTAAGTAGTTTGACTAACAAATTAGCTGCGACGTTTTAGTTTGACGAGCAGGCCGTCATCAAGTCATTGAACGTCGAGCAGACAGTCCGACCAGACCACAACAGACCCAGTCACACCGACCACATAATGGGCATCAATGCAGATAAGGACATGGATATTTTGCGGCCACTCAGCGATAACGAGGTCGATGAGCTGCTCGGTCTGTACGAGCGCAAATACGGGCCCCAGAATTTTCACTATCTTCTGCTCTACAATCAGCGCAAATGGGATTGCCAGCTGGCGGCGGCAGGTATAGCCAGGGACGATCCCGCTTACATTTCGCTGAGGAAGCAGTTCTACACGCATCGCCAGGGCGACTTTCGTCGATTTGGAACCTACGTGAGCCTCCATCGGGACATAGTGCAGAGCGTGTCCTTCTTCAGCTGGCAGCCGGAGGGCGTTCCGGAGCTATGGGAATGCCTGGAGCGGACGAAACTCATTGAGTGGACAGAGGGCGCCCTCCTCACCAATGTGGACCCTGCCTTCTGTGAGCGTGTCAAAGCCCTCGCCGCTGAAAAGGGCGTCACCACGGCCACTGCCCGTCAGTGCTACGGCATGGTGCTGGCCCACGACGGGGCTTATAGGGCCGAGGTGCCAGAGCTGCTGTCGGAGTTCGAGCTGCGTCCACTAAGGGATGAGGACGCCCCCATGGTACACGCCATATGGCCCAATAAAGGGGAGGGCTCCCTGGCCTACCTGAGGGCCCTCATCAAGTTCAACAAGACAATTGGCGCTTGTCGCAGCGACACGGGCGAGCTGATAGCCTGGATATTTCAGAACGATTTCGCTGGCTTGGGGTAAGTGCAGAACCAAACTGTGTGCTTGATCTCCATCGACTGAGGATGGTCTGCTTCTGTTCGTTCAAGGATGCTGCAGGTCCTGCCCAAGGCTGAGCGACGAGGCCTCGGTGGCCTCCTGGCCGCTGCCATGACCAGAAGGATAGCCAGAGGCGAGAAGGTAACGCTGACCGCCTGGATTGTGACTTCCAATTGGCGCTCCGAGGCACTACTGAAGCGTATTGGCTACCAACAGGACCTCATCAACGAGTGGATCAAGCTGGAGCCAGTTCCTTAGGCGAGACCGGGGCGAGACGGTGGCGAGGTTGTTCGCAGTGCAGTGTGTTCGTTGGTTTCGGTATTCGTTTGGCCTAGTTGGCCCAATTGTAAGTTAGGACTATGGCCAAGGGTGTCGTTGCGGTGCGGTGCGGTTCAGTTCGGTTCGGTTCGGTTAGGTTCTGCTTTGGATCGGAGCTTTTCAATGAGGAGAAATGGTGATTTGCATTTTCTATGCCTATGTACAAGGTCAACATTTTATTGTGCCATTTAACATGCGCACACGCTTTCTGAATACACTTTACGGCTTCATCAAATTCAAAAACAAATGAAATTTAAATTCAAATTCAGGGAGGAATAGGAGGAGGGGGGGGGCACACCTCAAGCTACTTATTTACAAAACACTAAAAAACGCATCAAAAAGTTATCAAAAATACAATTTACAATAGGTTAATTGGGATGATGGCCGTGGGTATCCCACGCATAGTCGATAGCTGGGTGAGGGGGGGAAACAGAGAGCTGACGGGGACGGGGACCGGTATCGGTATCGTATATCTGGTTACGGTAAGACAACTAGACTATTTAGCTTATTTGCGCCTAGGGGAAGGGGAGTGTGGGATAGATTCTCTAACTAATAACTAAACGAAGAGCAAGCGTGTGGCCGTCCCGCTGGGCATGCCACTGCCGTTGGCCAACAGGCTGTTGCCGCTCATTGCCGAGACGGGCTTGTGCAGTCCATTCGACATCTTGCCGTTCATGCCACCGCGGTAGTACGGATCGGTTTGCTGCTGCAGCGGCGTGTACTTAATGTGATTGCTTTGCGACAGCGGCAGCGTTGGCGCCTCCCTAGACCTTGTGATTTGCTTGGCGCGATTGTAGCACAACACACCGACAATGGCCAGCGTCATGCCCAGACAGTTGACCCACGTTACGGGATTGCCCAGTATGACCAGCGAGACGGCAATGACGAATATCCGCTTCGAGGCGCTGGCCACTGCATACGTCAGCGGTGTAACCAACGACAGTACGCTGAACGCAATGATGTTCTGCAGCCAGTTGAGTACGCCGTCGGCAAACAGCAGCGCAATCACCCGGTAGTCCATATTCTTCTGCAATTGCAATTGGAAATTACAAATATTGATTAAATTTGAAATGTTGGCGGTAAGAGAGGGAATGGGAATGAAACATCAGCAACTGCTAGATTTTCCACTTCACTTGATTGAAATGAACCTTTTTCGTCTTTGTGTTTCTGCGAAAGGTTTACCTTCGAGTATTTATCGAAACGAAAGAGAGCGCACTTCAATTAAGATAAGGTAATTGATTGCTCTCTGACTGCTTCACACTGGAGTGAGCCAACAATTACTTACGATAGCCGAATGGCGAAAGACAGCTAAGCTGTCCATGTATAGCCAGATGGGCAGGAAAATGAACAGCGACAGCTTTCCCAGCAGATGGAGCAGCCGCAGATGATGAATGTTGGTGTCCTTGAGCACCTGAAAGTGTGATAAGAATCCATTAGCAAAGGACTTTAAGGAGTGGCAATGGACACACACCTTCTTGGAGAAGATGTTCTGCATGGAGAAGCCCATGGTGGAGATGAGGGCACTGATCAGGCCCAGCATATCGAACGAGATCTCGGTGACGGTGGCAATGCCAACGCCAGTGATGATGGGTAGCAGGCTCAGGTACACAAGGGTCGGCTGCTTCTCGTTGAAGAAAACGCGCGTCAGCACAACGGTAAAGAGCGGCATCGTCGCCTTGACTGTGTCGTCGAGAGGAGAGGAGAGGTGCGTGCGATTGCGTGAAAGAGTAAAGTAAAAGTTGGCGCCAGTGTTGCTGACGTGTTGAGCGTGGATGTTGCTACTCACCAGTGTGTGCATAAGAGACCGGGACCTTCCACAGCGATATGTGAGAGGTGACCGAGGCGAGGAGCTTGCCAATGGCTAGCGGGACGATCAGGCGCCAATAGTAGGGGCGCGGAATCTCCTGGTACTTTCGTATACGCCACAGATTGAAGAAGGGACCGCTGTACAGCGTGATACTGCAGAGCTGGACAAGGGTGACGGTCAAGGGGAAGGGGAATTCGTTGAGCACCATTTTTCCAATCACATTGTTGCTGGACGAGATGACGTACCAGAACAGGCACATCATCAGTACAACAGCAACATGACGAGAGCTTGTCCGCTTGCCGCCCAACATGTTGGGTTGGTGCCCGGATCGGTTTGGCTGTCGCTGGCCCTTGTCTGCTCTTGCAGAGCACGAATGTGTCGCCTGTTCCCGGTCACTTAGAAGCCGGCAGGTGGGTATTTGTTGCTGATTTCGGCACTTGGGCTATTGCATTGCGATACTTGGTTTTGTTTAAAACCTATAAACCAATAAAAACGTCGTCTGTTTGTTTTCTACGTGTACCCGTCAGTGTGACCAGATTCCCCACAAGCTCTCGGCCAGTGTGACCGCTGATTTATCAATCAAATTTACCGTCTGACCTTAAAAATATACCAAAATATACTTTCACATTTTCGAAAATAGTGCTGAAGAAACATCGAATGGCCGACGATGAAATGTTTATATACGATGTTTAAGTATTTAATATCGATACATTTTCATTTAAAATAAATGAATAAATTCGATATAGGAAAATACTGTTTTACATAATAGAGATCAAAGTGGATGATCTGCAATAAGGGAAAAATAAGGGTTTGTTACATTTTTATTAATATTAGCAATTTTAATTTTCATCGAGCTCAAAAAAATATTATTTTTTCATTTTTTTGTTGTTGATATTTACTAGTTACTAATCTGATTAAATAGAGCGGGGCTAAGCTATTTTTTTCTCGGTTTCTGAGGTTCCAGTCCCACTCGACAGAACAAATCAAGTGAAATATTTATTTTTCCATATATGTATGTACATTTGAAAATGACCGCCAATCTCATTTAGCGCACAAAAATATCGATATTATTCGCTCCCAAATCGTGGTGGTTTTTCAAAATTTGCTCTCAATTCGTGGTGGGTTTTTAAAATTTGCTCTCTTTTCAGTGGTGAAGAGAGAATTTTTGTGGTGACTTTCCCCTCATTTTCGTGGTGTGAGAAACATGTTCGTAACGGGAACGCGTATGGAATGAAGATTCATTGATACATTTGATTTGTATGGGAAAAATTTCAGCAACATGGGGAAATGAAGTAGCAGCATTGTTGTGCAACTTTGGCACGGAATGAGCAACAATCTGCATACCTTGGGAAAATGGATATTATGGACTTGAGATATTGTTTGAACTTTCAGGCTCCAATTAATGCAAAAACTACTCAGTCTCTGTTCTAAAGATTTTAACAAAGTTTTGCAGCTCACGACTACCAATAATAGGTATCAGAACCGGGATAAATGTATCTATATAAAACAAAACATATGCATTAATAGGTAAAAAACATGTCAATCTAGTATAAAATCATAAATAATGTTTCAATGGAGCTTGGAACAACAAAATTAGCATCAATTAAAAGAAATAAGGTATACAAAAGTACATACGCATACAAGAAACTTGGTTGACCAGCAACACTGACGTCACATTTAGTCAACATTTACGTTTTATGCTTTGGCCGGTTTTGTTTGAACCTTAATATGTAAACAATTTAATGAAAAATAGTTCTGAAAACTAGCCAATCCTAAACAAAATTCATGGAGGAATTGGATAAAATTATTTTTTTTAGGGCTGAGAGGGCCATCTATATAGTAATATTAAACTGAATATCAAAATTGACGAATTTCATATCACTAAATATCACGGTAAGGCAGCCCGCAGCAACTACGAATTGCAGGAGTCTGGTAACGCCACAAAACGACGACACATTCGTTTTATGTTGTTTTTGTTTGAACCTTAATATGTAAATAATCCAATAAAAAGGACTTCTAAAAACTAGCCAATCCTAAACAAAATTCATTGAGGAATTGGATAAAATTATTTGTTTAGGGCTGAAAGTCCCAGCTAGCTAGTAATATTAAACGGAATATCAAAATTGAGAAATATCAACGTTGAATGTTTTGAAAAAACAATCGATACTATCGTGATAGCTCTAATAATTATTAAAAAACCATTGAAACCTTTTAGGAACTTGTCCATTGTAAAAATTAGATGCCACCTGTCGATGATTTGTTTACAAATGTGTCTTCGTATCTTATAGCAGACAATCCAAACATATTAAAAGCGCAACGACTGTAGCTCGATACTATCATGATAGTCTCAAAACCATCGATAGTAGAGGCTAGCAGCAAAATATCGATACTATCGATAGTTGACACCTTTATACAGAGAATTGACTCATTTTATTAGAAAAATTTGAGTTGGTTGGTCAGAATATATAAAACAGCAGGATGAATCGATCTCGAAGAGCAACTTCTGCCAACAACAAATCATTTGTTTCCGGAGGAATCTATGTAAGTTTGAATAAATATATATAAAGAATTGTGCGAAACACCTAATAACGCACTCAACAACAATTGCCATCAATTAAATTAAGCTTCGCGGCCGTTTAAACACGGGCAGCAAAATGTATTTTTTAATGTAAATACATATATTTGCACATACACATGTACATGCATATGCACAAACTTCTTGCATACATACATTGTATGTAAAGGTAGACATAAGTTAGATTCTTTTGTTTAAAAAATCAATGCTATTCTCCGAACAGCAAAAATGCTTGCAAAAATGCAAGCAAGGCATATGTATGTACATGCATATGTATGTAAACAAACAGAATTGCGTTTTTTTCAAGTTAAAAATGTTTTTCTTCTTGTTTTTCGCCAAATAATGCATTAAATAAAATAACACGATAATAATAATAATAGATAATGCTGCTTCTTTTAATTGAGCGGTACCGTAATTTAAAGTGCGTGACAGCATCATCTGAGGGGCATCTCAGGGGAAAAAAAGTGTGCCTTAAAAATATGTTCTTAATTTTTCAAGTGACACCTCGTGGTACAAGCGGTAAAAAATGTACAAATTATGTGAATATACTTAAACAAACACACACAGAACTACTCGAATATGCATAACCATTCACACATAAAAACATACACAATATATACACACGCAAATACATACATACATATAGAAATAATTTTGTTGAATTCGCTTTAAAAACTTAAGCAAACATTTATTGTAATAACTGTATTTCTGTTTTTTATTTATATAATTTGCAGCGCACAATATGAAAAATGTGTGTGTTCAGCCCCCCAATTGTGAATTTATTTGCAATAGCCATAAAAGCGTGTTAATCGAAAGTGCAGACCGGTGTCCAAGCTGTATCAGCATCAGAATCAGAAACCGCATCCCATACCATACCCATACCATCCCATTCAAGGGGAAAAACAGTAAATCTAACCAGATCCTTGGTGCTTGGTGCTGCATTCGACGCATTAGTTAAACATATGTACAAAAAATGGCCAGCAATTACGATAGAATTCAGCTGGACTTGCGGTTTTCGCAGACTTTTATGGCTACTGAAAATTCATTCACACGAAATTGTAACTTAAAATTATTAGTTTTGCGCTAGATAGCAATGCTCATTTACTTCACTGATAGTACCCAAAACGAAATACCAGTAGCCAGGGGCCGAATGAGCCAACATATGGCGCTCAATACGCACAAAAGGCGTACTGAACGCCAGCGTTGGGGTCATCCGGAATGCCCTTTGGCCAGATAAGAGAGAAACCATTGTTTGGTTGGCACATGGTTTCGCTGAGGCAGACTTTCGTTTTGGGTCAGTTTGGTTGCAGGAATGGTCATGGCTAATTCCTGAACTATGGTTTTTAGTAGGACCGAGCTCCCGTGAGCCTCCCGCAAGCCACCCACTTCTGATGTAGTAGATCGATTGACTGGCATGTAAGATGATTTTGATTGGTAAAAGTTTTGTTTTTTTTGGTTGCTCTGATCCCAGGCAGCCTCGATCACTGCCTGAAGCTTCCCGGGCATCTAACTCAGGCACTGGATACCCTCTTTTCTTAGAAGAACAAACCACAAAACAAAAGAAAATAAACAAACCAGCTTCCCATTATTTGTGTCGTCTTGATGATTAATGAAATTTTCCCATAATTTAGAACCCGAATGCCACGGCCAAGCCCTTGATTCAACCGCCGGCAAACCCTCAGCCGCAGGCATCTGCAGTCTCGGTGCCAGCCCCAACTCCAGTGCCGGCTCCAGTCGCAGCTAAAGAAACGCAGACAAAGAAAAAAGAGGCACCGGCAGCAGTTAGTGCCTTGCCTCTTCCAATAATTGTCAAGGATGAACCAATTCCCATGGCCGAGGACGAGTCGTCGCCCGTTGAAAGCGCTAGCGAAGGGTTTTACATCGATATAAGCGCCGAAAATGGCAACGGAGGAAAGATCCCGTTCAAGAAGATTTTCCAGAAGCGCAAGAAGTCATCGGGTAAGCATCAGAATCTAAGATCCGTAAACGATTTGCCTCAATCTCCAGCTCCCATAAAATCGAATATAATTCACCTTTTTTTTTTTTGCTAATTTTCAGAGCGCACTCGCGATAAGAAGCAGCGCCAAAATCGCCAGCTCCGCAAGTCGATGCTGCCGAAAAATGCTTTGATGGCTCTCAACGAATTGAAGGGCATTAACATAAGTGATTTTACCATCAACAGCAATCCTGATGGCGGATTCACTGCCATTGTCACGGTCAACTCGAACCAGTACCAGGGAAAGGGGCTTTCCAAGATGTCGGCCAAAAATTTGGCCTGTGAGCATGCTCTGCGTGATTATATCATTGCCAAAATGAAGCCAAAGCCGCGCAGGCCCAAGCCGATTGTTGAGGAAGTCCAGCCAGCGACTGTCTCCGAATCCATGGACACCAATGAAAGCGACACTGAATCGCCCGAAGACGAATTGCCAATGCTCAATTTGGCATCATTTGCCATATACAAATTATTCAGCGAGTGGGAGCGCGACGGTTACGTTGTGCCCGAAATGCATCCATCGGCCAATGCACAGCCGCAGCAGGGGGACGCCAATGCAGCAGTCCCCGTCCTCCCCAAGGAGCCGAAGAAGCCACCAGTGCGTGCTGAATTGCCCCCAAACTGGCAGACCATGCACCCGGCCACATTGCTTTGCATTGTAAGTTGACTTAGATCAGAGAGAGAGAGAGAAGTCCAGCTCGAATTTACGTGACCAATTTTCCCCTTTTAGATGCGTCCTGGAATTTCGTATGTGGACTATGGCACCGCTGGCGACAAGCCCAACGTGCCCCAGTGTCTCGGTGTGATCGTTGACAACCAGGAGTTTACGGCCAATGGGCGCTCAAAGAAAATCGCACGTCGCAATGTGGCCGTCAATGTTTGCAACACATTGTTCGGTACCAATTTCACATATGAAGAGTATTGAGCAAGCATCAGACTAACCTTTATGTATAGCAAGTGCAAATTTTATTCATTTAAGTTGTGTCATAGTATCTGTTCCTAAAACGCCTAATAATTTGTACTTGGGTATACTTATTGCCGCGATACACAACATTTTGGCAGGAGGATCGGTAACACAATTAATCCAACCCCTAGTGAAAATGTTCTATTAACCGTACGAGAAATTATAGATGCTACAACTTGAATGAATACATTTTGAGCTACTGTATACCTAAATGTTTAATAAACGAATAACCTTATATGTAGAACAAGCTGAACTTATATATCGGTGCTCCAGATGGGTGCGTGGTGGGTTTCCTTAAGCTTGACAGCACATGGCAGTAGTTCTGTCTGTTCATGATAGAAGACTATTGCTCCATTTGGTTTCTCTTTCGCCAAATTTACTATTATTTGTTTTTCCTTCTGCCTGAAAGTCTTTAGTTGTGGGTATGCGTACACTGAAACAAAACAAGAATTTCAGATATTGCAATTAGCAAGGGAATGTTTTGTGGTTAGTTCTGAGCCATTTCAGAGACTGAAATTTGCTTGCCCTCACTAGGCTTTTAGTAATTCGAATTCTGATCTGACTGAAGGAAGGATTCATATTGATCGAAAGCATTAAAGAGACATGATGCTGTGGATTCATACAGGGCTCTAATATGTAGAGGTAAAAAAGTGGAGAAAGATCATAGAGCTATGGTTTTTGAGAGGTGTCTGGAGAATATTCTGGAGTATGCGGTAGCATAATTTATAGAAAATTGTGCAATTGAAAAGTGTTCACCTTTTTAAATAGAGGAGGATTAAGTGGGTATATTTACGGTATATTTTGAAAATATGAAGGTATATTTCAGTATATTTCAGAGGGTAAGGCGGTATATTTTGTCAATAAATCCAGGGGTCACACTGGTTTCAATTCATAATCACCAACGAAATGTCGAAATTACTGTCGTACTCAGCAAGAATTACTCTGCGTAACATCGCCGTTGGCCAGCTGTAAGTAATGGCGTTCCCACCAACCATGGATTAACTTTATTCGATTCCCTTTTCGCAGCAGCCAGCAAGGTGTCCGAGCATTCGCGGGCTTTGTGTCCGGGCAGCGTACTACGCCGCAGCCGGCTTATGGTCGGCCAGCACCAGGACTTTTGCGTCAGGAGGTGGTGTCGTCGGTCGGGAAGCGGAGCATGTTCATCCAGACGCAGGACACACCGAATCCAGACAGTCTTAAGTTTCTGCCTGGCATCGAGGTGCTGGGCAAGGGAAATACCTATGATTTCCCCAGTGGAATGGCTGCCCACTCCAGTCCATTAGGTGATTAGTTACACTACTGGCTGAACGTCGGTCCATCCCAATTAACGATCCCAACACTTTTTTCGCAGCCAAAATGCTGTTTCGCGTCGAGGGCGTACGGGCTGTGTTCTTTGGCTCTGACTTCATCACCATCTCCAAGGAGGAAGGCGCCGAGTGGAGTCTGATAAAGCCAGAAGTATTTGCCGTCATCATGGACTTCTTTGCCACTGGGCTGCCCATATTGCATGAGGCTCGACCCAATGCCGATACGGAGATACTCGAAGACGATGACGAAACAGTAATGATGATCAAAGAGCTGCTTGACACACGCATCCGACCAACAGTCCAGGAGGATGGCGGCGACATCGTCTTCATGGGCTACGAGGGCGGTGTTGTCAAGTTGAAGATGCAGGGCTCCTGCTCATCCTGTCCCAGCTCGATTGTCACCCTGAAGAACGGCGTGCAGAACATGCTGCAGTTTTACATACCTGAGGTGGAGTCCGTGGTGCAGGTGTTCGACGACGCCGACAGAATGGCCGACAAGGAGTTCGAGCGCTTCGAGAAGAATCTTAAACAAAAGGAGCCCGCTGGGGCACCGGTGGGCATAGGCGGTAGCCCCAACTAGTCATCGATCTGTTATAATCTTTGCGTTGCTAATTCTGTAGTCAAATCCTAGTTATACATACACCTAATCTATGTATACAATTAAAGAGTTTAATAGTTAAATTTACATGTGTACGGCCATAAGCATCAACTCTTGGAGGAAAGATTGCCTCATGCTGCTCGTCTAGAGAGAGATTTCCGACTCTCCCAACGTCGCAGCAGATTGTAGGTTCACTGCCATGACAATTTGGCGGTGCCCAATCGACTGGGGAGTGTGGGCAAGGTCAATAATTTGTACACTCCGAGCGCGCCTTGTCCCAGTTTGAACGAACCCGTCGCCACCACACAAGTGGGTCAATAAACCCGCATTATTGCCATTGATTCTACAAGAACGGGCAGCAGCAAACCAATGCCAACCAAACCCGCTGCCAAAGTAACCAAGTTTAATCAATAAAAAGTTGACGAGCCAGCAGCAAAGGGCGACTGTGGAGGCCCAATCGCCGCGCAACTGCAGACCCGACCAGACCACAGAGCGGGACCGAGCGAGCGACCGACCGAAAAAAAATACTTTCGAGCTGAACCGATGCTCTGCTGGGCCAACGAGGATCACTTTCTGAGCCAACGCTATCCGAATCCGCAGCAAAAGGCGCCCGAGACCCTCAAGAATTTGCTGCTGCGCTCTAGCGTGCCCATTGTGAGTGACAGGGTAGACAGAGACAGCACCGAAATGGCACCGTTGAAGGGGCAAGAGGTCACCAAGTTCCACAAGCACTCTTTTCTCGAAAATCGCATCTTCGATCATCGCCTGGTCAAGGACAATCTGCTGGACAAATGGCCCACCGCTGACATGAACGAGTACCACGAGCGCAAGGATCATCGCAATCTCATGGAATCCTATGTACCATCATCTAAATCAATCATATAATTAATCAAATGTAATGTGGCACCCAGCACACCCAGCACACTCAGCACATCCAGCTGGGCGACTTTGTTGTACAAAGCCTGAGCCACCAAGCAGGCAAAGGAAAAATTTCTGCCTGGGTTTCAGGCTCTGTCAGTGTAGATTCAGTCAGTCCTCGAACACAGCACAGCACGAGCATACGTTGAGTTCGATTGTTCAGTTTTTTTTTCAGTTTTCTAAGAAAATACACAAATTTGTAGTTTTTCACATTTTCCGTTTCCGTTTTGCGCACAACAAAATTAATAGTGGCACAAATTCCCAGTTCTTCACGCACACGCGAACACAGCTCACGATTCGATCGAGATGAGCCAACAGCACAATGGCAATACGGGCAATAGCTCCGGCGTGCCGCCAACCACGGTCATGTATTCGCAATTGCAGCCGTGGAGCCATGCGGGTGCCCCGCCCTGCATGGAACCAGTCAGCGGACCGACAGTGCCACCCCGTGTCGGCGCCGCTTACGAGACTTCACAGCGGCATCCGTGGCGGCCGGCCATGGCCTACGAGCTGATCCAGGTGAAGCATCTGCCGGAGCAGCCGGTGACCAATCAGCTGACGAAGCAATGCTTCCTGCCCAAGGGCATGAAGACAGACGGGATGATCTTTCCAAATTTGGTCACCGGCTTCGATCGCAATCCCCAGCATGCCGCCCGTGCTGCCCTTTACACGCGATATACCAACAACGAGTGGTACAACAACAACATGACCAAGTACTCCGAGTCCAACATGAATCGGTGAGTAATTGATGAAGGCTGCATACATATATGGGACGGGCATGGGGCACTTGGTGGTTTCAATAGGTTCAATAGTCCGTTCGCAAAAGGGCTTTTCTCCAAATCAAATCTGTAAGAACGCTGTCATTTTCTACTCTATTAGCAATCTGTCCGAGCGGATGCGAAATGATGCAGTTCGCCTGATGCGCGAAGCCGACGAGAAGGCCACCTCGGGGCAGCGAGATGCAGGCCGCCGCATAGGTGAGCGCATCACAGACCTGACCTTCTGGCGCAACGAACTAAATGCCGAGCTGGAGAAGCTGATCGCCGAGATGGCCGACATTAACGAGCTGCAGCGGCAGTGCGGCAAGGCATTGCTAGACCTGGAGATACCACTTCACATCGCCCAGGAGTGCTTGTTCCACCGCGAGTCGCGCCAGGGCACCGAGAAGGTGCACGACATCGTCGAGAAGGCTCTTTTGGTGGAGATTAACAATCTGAGGCTGTCGCGTGATCGGCTCAGTGGGTTACATGAGAAGATCTCCAAAGCAGGCACTCGATTGCCGCGGTGCCCAGCACCTGCTGGAGGATGATGTGTCCCACAAGGAGTCGTCCTTGGGCATCGACTCGATGTGTCACCAGCTGAACAACTACAGTCGTGGCATCGCCTATTACGGCGGCATCGAGAAGTACGATCCCTCGGTCAGCACCCAGGAGTCATGGGCTCAGGCCAGCAGCGAGCATGTTAGACGGTGAGTGGGCGAAAGGTCTTGGTCCGTTTGCCCCAGATATTAATGTGGGTTCTTTCGTATCGTTACAGTTCGCAGGCTGAGCGCGCCAAGCTGTCCCAGTTGCGCAGTGATTCCCAGAACGTGGTTAATGCGGTGGCTACCACCGTATGGGACTTTTGGAGCAACACCAACAATGCGTTCGACAGACGGGCCCAGGAGATGGCCGAGGCCAAGAACCGCGTGCAGCTGCACTTGCAGAAGGTGCAGCAGGAGCTGTTCGATATGGAGAAGCATCTGTTTCTGCTCCAGAAGGCCATACAGGACAAGTCAATGCCGCTCAAGGTGGCCCAGACGCGCCTCGAGGCGCGTTGTCATCGCGAGGGCGTCGAGCTCTGCAAGTAAGAGCACTTTAGTATTTGCTGCCTCTGATATACTCATTTGATTCAATTCGTTTTAGGGATCATGCCCAGGAGCGTTTGGTCCAGGAGGTGTATGACATTCAGGGCGCTGTGGATTCGCTCCACCACAAGCTGCAGGAGTCGGAGGCCACACACCAGGGCCTGCTGAAGACCCGCTGCACCCTGGAGGTGGACCTGCGCAACAAGGTCAATGCCTTGTTCATCGATCGGGAGAAGTGCATGAGTCTGCGTCGCTCCTTCCCAGTCAGCAACTTGATTCGCTATTAGAATCCATGAAATGTCTATTCCATGTTGCAGAAATAATTTATGCCGCACTCAAATGTATTACATACATGTTTAGAATCTGAATACATTTATTTACATCAGAAATTTTTTTATTTTGAAACATTTTAATGGTGCCCCACTTTGTATTTGAGATCTGGCATCACTGCTGCAGCTATCGCCTGACTTGTTAAAATACAGCAGGAAAACAAATTGATGAAATAATATTTTATTAAAATTCTTATATATTTGCAATAAAATGACAATATTATGATTATTAATAATTAAATTAACTTTGAAAACAGCCGTAACGTAACCGATATTTATACGATACAAGTGCCATCGTTACTTGGCCATCTCTACGTAAGTGATGCAGCACTACGTGCCGTGCCGTTTTTAGTGCACTTTTTCCATTAAATTATAGTTAATACGGCTAACGCTTCTGTTTCTGCCGAAAAAGTGCTGCCATCTAAAATTAATATATAAATCTGAATTTGAAAGGTGACATTAAAGCATCATTATTGCAGTAATAACAGAGTAAAGTGAAACACTAACCGGCAACCATACTTTTAATTGCCCCTTTCACGCACTTCTCCCATTTCCCATATTCACACCAAACATTTTCTGGCAGAGTGGCTGGTTTGCTCCGGGACACCCGGCGATTGAGTTGCATTGGCAGGTTATGGGCAAGGTTAATTTGCTCCTCAATCGCAGTTATACTATTTGTGGCCATGTGTGACGTGTACTTTTAGATAGCTTTTAAAACTTAGTAGGTCAATAAACCATCTGATTCAACCTGACAAGTTTTGATTTGATTTATATATACACTTCTATCATAATCAAAGGTGTCTTATATTTTCATGGTTGAATACAAAAACAACTTTAACAGCGATTTGAATCAATCGGACAGCGATCAAGAAACGGAGAAGAGCTCGCTTCAGGGCAACACAAATAACCTCAGAATGGGCTACGGTCTCTGTATTTTGGCCGTTGCCTGCGCCTTGGCCGCCTATGCATCTGGCGTCGATCCAAACAATTTCAAGACATGCGAACAAAGCAGCTTCTGTCGGTCAGTATCAAGACCATACGTAAATGTTGGCCTTCACCTTCATCATCACTGTTGAATCATATTTTCATTGCAGCCGCTCGCGGAAGGTGCAGAGCTCGGGCAGCAAGTATGCCCTAATACCGGGCACCGTGAACTCCTATATGGACTCGCTGACTGGCGATCTGATTAACAAGGATAACCACCATCAGTTCTCCTTCAAGCTGGAAGCCCTGGCGGGCAGTTCGTTCCGCCTGCAGATCGACGAAAAGCAGCCACTGCGACCCCGCTATAAGGTGGAGCATGCCCTCAAGGGACAGCCGGAGGCCGGGCGCATTCACGTCCAGAAAGAGACCGATGGGCAGATCACCATCACTTCCAAACAAAACAAGGCTGTCATCCACGGCGACCCCTTCCACATTGATTTCTACGAGCACGATGTTTTGGTTGTGTCCGTCAATTCCAAGAACTGGCTGTACTTCGAGCATCTGCGCCAGAAGCCCAATGAGCCGACCGAGCAGCGCGATGGCGAACAGGAGGACCAGGACGGTGCCGTTGAGACACCAAAATTGTCCGACTCGATCGACGACCCCGGCGCCTGGGAGGAGAACTTTAAATCGCATCACGACTCCAAGCCCTACGGCCCGGAGGCAGTGGCCCTAGACTTCTCCTTCCCCGCTGCTGAGATTCTCTTTGGTATACCCGAGCATGCAGACAGCTTTGTGTTGAAATCGACGTCTGGCACGGATCCCTATCGTTTGTACAATCTGGATGTGTTCGAGTACATTGTGGACAGCAAGATGGCCTTGTATGGTTCTGTGCCGGTGATCTACGGCCATGGGTGTGTACTAGCTATAATACCCAATAGTCTGTGACTATTACCATTGTCATAATCATTCTCTTTGCACAGAGCACAGCGCACTGCTGGCGTTTATTGGCAGAATGCAGCAGAGACCTGGGTGGATATCCAGACCTCAGAGACAAATGTTGTCT